CACCTACAGTGGCACTAAGGTAAACTCAATGCATTCTACAGCTGTTTTGCGAGATCGTTCCCTGGTCAAAATAAAATTAGCTTGCGAATGTGAGATGAGTTAGTGAGCTTTTGCTTGCATTTTTACTCCGGCTGCTCCAGTTTTCTTCCTCTGGGAAATTTTGTAAAAGGGTTGATATTTACAGAAAGTATGGCGTTCAGGGAGAACCGTTATAAAAGGTTCTTCTGAGGTTAAAACAGCGTAGACGAGGTTAATATGAATTCATTGTTCGTATACCGGAGTATTTAAATTTATTACTCCTTAAAAAATAACGTTTTCGCTGCGTTCGCACTATACCGGATTTGCTCATCACAACGTCTTCATTTGCTTTAAAAGGGGTAACTGTTCGGAGTAAAAGCTTATTAAGCGGATAGATTTAGTCTATTTGATCGTGTTTCAGACGCTGAACAATTTTACTGCCTTTTAATATAAAGATTATTCAACCTGCTGCGATAGCAATCCGGTATATTGTAAACGGAGCATTAATGAAGACGTGTCAAAAAAAAGCATGGAAAAATGTCGTCGTTTTATATTCGCGTATTGCGTAATGATGGGTATTACCATTATGTGCCAAGTATGGACCAAATTCATTTCCTTATCACAATTCTGCGTCCATGTTCTCGATCATAAATCTTGTTATCAACTTGGGCTAAGTCAGATTAGCACTAGCCTCCCACCCCCTGACGCCAGCAATTAAAGTATTTTTTCAAGGGCTGCACTAAAATAGTTCTCTTTCATTTAAAAAACATTGTTTCTACGCAAGCTTTTTTCTATTGGCAAAAATCATCCATTATATTGCTGTCTCTCTCAAGCCATGAATTCCATGCTTCTTTCTTACAACAAGAATCTTTTGCTCTTTAACAAACAAAACAAAATTTTGCTGGTTTTACTTTCCTTTCATAAATAAGAATGTATTATACATTTTATATTTTACGCATATCTCCCTATTGCTCTCAATAAGCTGATAAAATGTCGAGTTTTTAAATTGACGGGTCATAGACTATAGCGCACCAGCCTTCGACTTTATATTGTTTTGCCAAGATTGTGTAATAAGGACGTCTCTCTATATCAACACCTTCCACAAAGCAACATCCGAAAAACCAACGGAAAACAGTTTATCTCCGGTCGGAGAAAATGTCACATGGCTAATAGAGTCACAATGCATATCGAAATCTTGAAAGCTACCTTTATCATAATCAATTACTTTCACTAGTCGATCTAAAACAAAAAGAAAATTACAGACAGCAAAAATACCTAATTAAGTGATTGTAAACTAAAGCATTTGGTGTCATTAATTCTCGAGGAAATAAAAGAAGCACTGAAAAGAAATAAAAAACTTTTTAATTAGAATTTCGCCTAAAGCTTTTTTGATTCATATTTCCGACGTAGCTACGTCGATTTGGGACGTTTTTTTAGACTTAAACTATGTGGGATACGTAACACTAAATTGTGATCTAAATTTTCTTCTCAGAAAACCATCGATAATCCAGTTTTACTAATGGAAGAAAACTAGATGAGAAAAATTGACATAAGTTGGAATAGATAAAAAATCAGAAACCTTAATGAACTGAAGAATAAATATATTCATAAATGCTAAACAATTTTTTTTTTTTTGGAAATAATCCAAATCAAGATATATTTCTCTCGTGGATGTTTTCAATAAATATCGACCTAATTTCATGCGTTCATTAAATATCTCCAAAATTCCTTTAGCCCCTGAAGAGGGATTTATACAACTTTTAGGTTTAACAACATTTTATCAGGAAGTAAAGCGGTATTTCAAGAGGACTATCCAATACATTCCAATGAGCTAAAATCATTGTAAAAAATTTCTGACTGTTTTTTTTGATGTTCCTTATTTAAGTGTTAGTTTGGTGCATTTAAAATTAGCTTGAAAGAAGTAACTCACACATGTAAAGTAAAGACAAACACAGTATAGGAATATACAGTTAGGTCCACTTCGTGTGCAACTGGCTGCTCTATATTTAATTAGATTACATCATTACTATTGGTCAAAAAAAGCAATTGATTGGCTGCCACTATGGTAATTACATACTTAGAAATATATGCGTGGTAGGAAAAAATTCAATGGAGTGGCTATTCTGTATATTCCCTATACTGTGACACAAATGTTTTGCTTATCATCGTCAAAATATATTTAATGGTGTGTGGTTGACTTACCGTAATTCGTGATCACAAATCATTAAAAGAGCACACTTAATTACTTGAGTAAACAACAGCTCAAAATCTTGATTTGGTAGCCATATTCTTGACCTGCAATTCAGCCATGTTGGTGGTCTGATACAAACGAATATTTCATCAGTGTTATTGGCCCCAGCCGACATGTGCGAGAAACATTGTTTGGTAAATCTCAAGAGAGTGGCTGCAAATCAAGAATTTATTTTATCAATGTTATTGTAAGCACCAACGAACGTGGGCAAACGATATTGTTTGGAAATCTGCATGGAATGATTGCAAGTCAAAAATTGGCTGACATAATTAGATTGATGACGAGAACGTCAATCAGTTGTCAACTTTGCCAAGCGGTGGTCCTAGACATTGAACTCAATAAACTCAATATATAATCATGTTTGTAGCTACATATGCATCAAAAAAATGCAAACCTTTGAAATCCTTCAAAGTTTAGAAGTTATAAACTTGAAACGAAGCTCATGGAAGGATTAAAACAAAGTGCAATTTTGACTTTTGTGCCGTTTAATGGTTTATTACATAAAAAGTTTAAATATACTACAACTGACTGTAAAGGAAACTATCTCTTATTTATGGAACGATATAATAAGTCATTTAAGAGATTTAAAATTGAACTTTAAGACAGTTTCAAACGTCAAACTTTGCATGCACCGAATGCATTCAAGACAAAAATAAATGAGATGAAATTCCTAATTATTTTTTGTTTTAAATGCACTCGGCTCGTAAAAAGTTCAACGTTTGAAATGGAAATAACTCTCTCACGATTTGTACATCTGCTTACTCTTGAGTCCATGTAGACAAACTTTTGAACAGCCTCTGTGAATATGAATATTACAGCAAAAAAACGACGTCACGCTAATCATGACGAAAAAAGGTGCCAAAGATGTCCTGATTACTTCTGATGTCTAAACTTCGCTAAGACTTTTGAAGAGATAGACATTCACTGAAAAAGGTGATGAGGGGGAGAGGTCCTAGACATACAAGTGGTTTCAGTTTCTAAGTAGGCCAAGAAATAAGTAAAAGGATAAAGAGGAAAGTCCGAGAATTCTTCCTGTTGGCGCTCCAGTGGACACGGGAGACTTCGTAAGTCTTAACATCCACTATAACTCGGTCGCAATTAAATAATCCGCAAACCAATATGAAATAGGTACAGTTTAGCCATACCAAGCACTTTTTAATTAAGCATCGCATAGTGAACGGAGTCCTAGGACTTTGAAATGAAGAGGTACATGATTTCTGAGAAATATTAAGATGAGATAAAAGCTGGTCTCACAGGAGCAATTGTGAAGAAAACAATCTTTGGAAGAGCTAATGAGGTGGGATATACCATCATGAAATCATGAAAAGACGGAGCAATGAAAAAATGGGTCTATTTTTTCTACTGGTTCCCATGAATCTTTATTGTAGATGGGAGTCAGATAGGCTGATTTCCTCATGGAGAAAGCGCTAGTGAGCGATTCAAGATTATTTGTTGACTATTCAATGTGTATCTAAAGTACCTACTATGTATGTTATATCTGAAAGTAGTTCTTAATGGGGTGGTGTTCAAAATTGATGGTTGTGGTAAAGTGGAATGTTAAGAATGGTAAGGTTGTTTTGGTAGTATTTGACTACGAACGACTCGAACGATAATAAACAATTTAGAAAAACTTCATGATTTCTAGCTCTTTGATACCTTTTCTTTCTTGTTTTTTTTTTCAATCCTCTGTATTATCGTTGTGCCAATTAACTGAAAATCGCCCCATTTTACACCACCCAACTCTACTGTGTGGGTGGGGTTGGGGTGTTAAAGCAGCCTATTGTCTTTGTGGATGAACTTGGTGAGGCATTTTACCAACGTATTTAACCCAGAAATTGTACAAAATACCTAATTTCCAGTGGAATATCTAAGTCTGAGTTCATGCAATTTGATAGCTTGTTCATGAAAGTGTTACTGCATATCGACATTGCCAAATGATGAAACCCTATTATAACTTTCACTGTCATGTGCAGATATTTTAATAATGGCTTATAAAATGACTAAAAAAACTTATAACTTCCTGTTTTATAAACTAGTTACGTGTAAATTTGCAAGATTTAAAGAGCTTATATTTAGAGATCAAATAAAAACTTTTCAACGGAAAACAATACATTAATCAGCACCTAACTCACATAATGAAGCTTGTTGAAAGATTACACAAAATATGATACCAACATGAAACCTCTGGAAAATAGGTTATTTGTGAGGCTGAACATGGTAGAATATGGAAAGAAGCTGGAAACACCCCCCTTTTAGCAATTTTATGGCTGGTTGTCAGAACTCAGCCTTCTATGACCGATCTTGCTGGAAACTGATTGCAAATTGTAAATGGCACACTCTACATGCGATTAGCTACTATGAAAGGCAGGAAATTAACTCCCATTGTCAGTATTAGATTTACACTCTTCGAGATTACTCTGAGACAACTTCATCCCAATTTTTGATTGAACCTTCCAACTTCACATTCAAAGAAGTTTTGGCTGGCTGCAAAATATAATTGTAGTTTAAAGAAGCTGTTAAATTACGGATTTTAGCAGTGGTATTTTCTTAAACTGCATCATGTCAGTGTGAAAGGTCCATTTATTAAGTTGAAAATTTGGTTAAACCTGTAAAAACCTAGACTTCATAACATAAGTGTTCAAGCAAGTACTTGCACATTCTGTGGGTGTCTGCAGACCCATACGCTCATAGCCTCCAATTCCACTGTGTGATATGTTCATGTTAAAATCCGTTAACCTTTATGACTTTATTTAGCAAAGTACTAGTTCAATACTAAGAAATATATATAAAGTATAGCTAATAGCAAACCTAGCAAAATATTTTACTCCTACAATGCAAACTTTCAGTAAAATTAGAATAACAGCTTATAAAGTTGATAGATTTAGTTTATTTGATTGTATTTCTGACGTTGGACAATTTCATTGCCTTCTGCCTTTTAATACAAAGAAAATCTAACCTGCTACGATAGTAATCTGTTATAGTGTAAACGTGGCCTGAGTATACCACAGACATGACATGAAGAAATTTAGCGACAAATCTTAAAACTAATAAATATGTTGATGCTATAACTAAAATGTTTTAATGGTGTTGATATGATTATATAGAAATGTCCATACATACGCATTGCCCAATACACGGTGCTAATTTGATATGAACTTAGTCTCACAATGTTCTCAGAAAAGTTTTGAATTTGTACACTTAAAAGAAAAATCTTCCTCCTCATTGCAGCTGTTTCCACTCGTAATTCAAAATCGAATCAGCCAAATAAAATTTGTTCATGCTTTCTAAGGTCTCCACTAGTTTGCTCCGAAATTCAGTTTTCCACTTTTTGGACAAGATTGACAAAATTTTCTCTGCCTTTATTTGTTGATTTTCATAATTCGTATCTGTTTGCACATTATTAATTTCGTAACTTTCCATATTCATCATGGAAGCCAATTCATCCCAGAAACTTGCTATATGACGACTCAGTTGACATATTTCACGAGTAGTTAAAACATCTTCATTACTGCTTGTCTATGAAAAGTTTAAATGAAAAGGATTGCAAATTTGTCACTGAAGATAAATTTCGTTCATCTAGCGCGCCTTAACGCGAAAAATGATAAATCGTTGGTGTGCAAGTTACGTCATAGCTGTTATGTTAGATGATTTTAACAAAGGTTTTCCCTTATTTAGAATGTAATGTCATGCACCATGGTGAACATTCCATTGTTCTCTCAATCACGGGGAAATGGTTGCACACCACCTATTTTACTCTGACTTAGTTCATACTTTACTGAATTAAATTGACGAGTTGTGGAAAAAACAAGTTCGAATTGTATATCGATAAAAAACTTGCATGTGGGTATGAGGTACAAAACTTTGAGTATGTAAAATACTATACCACAACAATCCCGACAAGGCAAATACAGAAATGACAATTAACGTAAGATACTTTGTAGTTCTTTGCGTGAAAAATTATTGTTCAACAGAAAAAATGCTGTATTGGATAATAAAATCATCCATGCGATTTTTACATGCATTCTTTTATACGACTTTAACAAAGCTTCAAGTCCCCCATCTTTAGTTTCAATTTAGTCAAATTTCTGTCGCAAATCAAATTGCTCGCACGAGTTCATGTTGTGTACGATGGTTTTTATGAATTTATTTAATTTTGCAGTAAAATTTCATTTCGTACAATCACATGACGAATAATACGAACTGACGAATAATACGAATCAACTGTTAGAAGTACGTAAACTATAAAACTACAGTGAAGGCTGAAATACCGCGTCATTTCACCGCAATTTAAATTTTACCTCATGTAACTGCTTCCAACGTTCAAATTATATATATATATATATTTGATTATAAAAAGCAAACATGCACCCATAACATTCAATAACATCGTCTATTCCTAGCTGTAAAGGCTAAGTTAATCGTGTTGCATTATATGATTTTTGACAACAAATGCCATAGTGTTGAACTGCTCTGCAAAAAAATGGTGACAATGTGTGCCAAAATGTTGAATAAATACCTGATTTGTGGGAGTCAAAATTTCATCCAAATCAAGATTTATTTCTCCAAGATATTTCTTCAATAAAAGTCGATCGAAATCTGTTCGTTCATTAAAGATCTCCAAAATCTTTTTAGCCTTTGCGGAGGGATTTGGAAAACTTTTGTGGTTAACATTAATTTCATCACGTTTCTCAAAAGGTATTTCAAGAAGACCACCCAGTGTATTCCAATCAGTTGCAGCTTTCTGAATAATTTTTTCGATTTCCTCTGTTGTTAGTTTAGTGTAACGAAGATCAACTGAAACGAATCAACAAACAACATACATACAACACTAACATTCTAAACACAAATATAAACGTAGTGTTGTAAATAAAATTATGGCAATAGCAAAATTCTTCAGATTAGTATTGTTTTGTTAATAAACAAAACTCTGCTAAAGTTCAAGAAATTTTCTTTCTCGTCAACACTAATGTCAATGTAAGCTGTTGGTATATTTTATATGTACATTTAATAATCAGCTTAGGAGAAAAATGAGGTTCATTTCATATTATATTACTGTCTTCTCAACTATTTCACTCAAAAATCAAGTATTTCACTTTTCTCATAACTTTATTAGTTTCCTACCAGAAAAGAATGTTGAACATTATGTTACATTGTGCTAAGACCAACAAAAATGATCTCTTTTTTACCTTTTAAATTCCCTATTTGCTGGTCTTCATTAATCTTAAGAGTCCAAAGTACTTTTTCATTACCACTGTGTAGTGTATCAACTTGAGTTATTTTCATCCATCCATTAGCAGGGTATGGTATTTTTCTTCCCATAAAATGATGAATTACGTGACCTTCGTTGTCAAGAGCTTCCTCGTTAAATTCAAATGTAAATGTTGGAAACTTAGTTCCAGGAATATCCAAATTTAAATGATGTTTTCGATCTGTCTTAACAAACATGAAATTTCCTTCCACTCCTTTAGTGTAGCCTTCTTGCAAATGATCATTAATCTGTCTAATGCTTATTGTGTATTCACTGATGAATACGACAGATAAGTCAAATACTTTGTTTTTTAACTGCGGCAACCTTCGATGAAATACAAAAACACGACAATTGAAAGAATGATTCAAATGACTGAGGACTCGATGTTCGTCCAAAGACTTTCCAGCAACGCAAATGTAGAGAGCACTTTCTGGAATACTTATGCTAATCAAGTTTCTTACGACATCAATGTTGACATCACTTGTTATGTTCCAAGTAATGGACTCTACGTTGTCCATGTACGAGCCACAAAAAACGTAAGTGTTCTCCACAACCAATGCGGTCTCATGACCACGTACGCTTAAAATAACAGGACTGTGAAATATTATGCCCTTTGGAAGACATTTCAGAGAACAAAGAACTTTCAGGGAATTCTCTCTATTCAAATGCAGCGGTATATTCCAGAAAGAAATACCATTATTCTCTTTAATTAACTTTATCATCGTTGGTTGAGCTACACAATTTGCATCAACAGTCAGCTCAATGTCATCCAATTCGACAACACCACCATCTGCAGTTATTAATTTCTCCACTTTACGAAAGCTACTTAGATCACCTAAAAATCAGAAAATATATACTAATTCTGTAAAACAATCACAAATAATATAAAATAGGCAATTTGAAATATTAAATTCTAACAAACATGAATACCACTGTGTTACGAGTAATGAACCATATGAATTATTTAGGAAACTATATTTCTTGTAGAAGTTTAATTACTCTAGTTACTCTACAATGCAGTTCCAAAACTGTATAACAGCATGCGACCTGTTCTCACAAAGTGAAACAAGTCAACGCGAACCAAACAGAGTCAACAACACTCTACAACACTCAAAGAATTTTGGCTCACCTTGCTTTAGCTTGTCCACATCCATTTCTGAAACATCAAAAGCAGACTTGTTTTCCTTTGAGAAATCTGATGTTTCGTTTCCCTCTGTTTTCCTTTCATCTTTATGATGATTATTATTACCTACAATTTTTAAAACTGGACTGTGAAATATTGCTGAAATTTTAAAAGATTGACTAGGTTCAAGATATCGAACATTTTGCAAATCAATAACGCTGAAAAAAAAGCAAAATATTTTGTCACACTAAATTGTGTATTTCAATTCAAATCCTAAAAAAACAGCTAATTTTATAAGTTAAAAATATTTCAGAATTGAAATACAACTGCAGTTTTGATGTTTTCAGTTTGTTTGTAGCTATTATTAATTTATTACACAATGTCCGTGTTAAAACTGTCCTTCGTTTTAGCTATTTATTGTTCAATGTCTCTGCTGGCAAAGAATAAATGGTAAATATTAAAAATTTAAGTAGGTAGAACAAAAAATTAGAACTTAAGCAATTCAACTTTTTCTTTACCGTTGCAAAATCAGATACGCAAAAGGGGATAAAATAAAAGTGTAGACAAAAAAACGTAGAAACTATGAAAAATTTCCACTTTTGCAAAAAGTCAATCAAATCGAAATAAATCGTTATGTAACAACAAAATTGGACGAAACATCCATTTGTAGAAAGTCGAGCCATTTGAGCTCTGCAGAAGGCAAATGCAAATATCCAAATGCAAGTTTTGCAGTTAATTCATGCAAGGAGGAAATTATCCAGCTTATATAAAACTTTGCAGAAAATAAAAGTGCTAAAGTATGTCGTTGTTACCTGTTCTCAGAAATCTGCGAAGCATTCGTTTATGACCAACTCAAAAAACTAAATATACTATTATAAAAACTAAATATACGGCTATGATCTTAAACACACTTCAGGCAAAACCATGGTCATCTGAAATGCAATCAGCAGGACTTACTTCAGAAACATATCGATTAAAACTGACTTTTTGATCTGTCAACACATGTTCAGCGCACGATGACAAGCTCACATAAAATGCCCAGTGTCTATGGGAAAAACTACCAAGCTACATAGGGATGAATAGTCAGATATTCAGTTCTTTTCGACTGGTTTATTTTGAAAGCGATTGTATATTTTTAAAAGAAATCAGTAGGGCAGAGCTGAAAATATGAATCTTTACCTTTTCCGTCAGAAAAAAACGCGATCGTGTCGTGTTACAACTCGTTGTAAAATATGCACATTTCAAAAGTTAATTTAAGGAGATGAACGAGAATTAGGAATGCATTACCAAACTACCTACGATGCAACAATATGAGCCTTAGTCAACTCACGAAAACTCCTTGGCAATATTATGAATTATCATTAGAAACGATTTTTATGAAGTTGATAATCAAAGAACATGGTAGTCTATAAGTCTGTCTTGTAACAAGTCACGTGAACTGTCTAGTAAAATATTGTGTTGTTTTTAATGTTTGTAACATTACGTTTTAAGGTTTCAGAAATCGGCGAAAGCTGTAACATTTTACCTGCCATTGATTAGTTATATATGTTCATTGGCATTTACAGTTTAGTAAACACTTAAAATCGTAAGAAAAAAAATTTGTTCTCACCTTCTCTTGCTTTATCCACATCCATATGTGAAACATCAATGGCAGACGCTTCTTGTTCTGAGAAATCTGACGTTTCATTTCCCTTTCTTTTACTGTTTTTTTTGTCATCATCATCCTTATCTAAAATGATTGACACTTGAGCGTGTAATTGTAATTAAAAAATTTAGGTTGTATTCCTAATGAAAAAGCATCCAGCAGTGTTCGATATTGAACAAATACAAGTCAAGTTTTTTAATTTTTATTTAAAATTTGAATTCTTCTATCCATGTAGATTCCAAACCCGTCTTCAGAAAATCAGTACATAAATTCTGACACGGTTATACGAACATAAAAAACATGTGATCACACAAGATTTAAACTTACACCATCGGGAGCTCTATTTTTGGAAGGATAACTTCGCCGCCATTCTTTATGAAAGCAAAAGGCAAAGACGAAGAAAAAAATGTTGCAAAACATTGTTTTTCTCATTGTTCAAGACAAAAATTCACTCAACATATGACTTGTGAAAACTTTTCCATGAACATAACACAAGTGTGTTTTATATTAACAAAATTACACACTATAGCTGCGAAATCGGCTTCAATCAATTATATGGCTTTTGTAGTGGAGTTATCGTTCCAATTTTTGAATTCCCTCGACTTGTTGTGCTACCAAACCCACAGAGATTGGAGACAAATCAAATCTCTTAGAAACTGCATATGGACGAGACACTCTCGCCACTATAGCCGTCTCTTAATGGCAACGTAATTTGACTTTATAATAAAGCTATTTGTAAATTTGATTGCAAACAAAAATGATAAATTCAGAAATGGCAGATTACATGTTGTACACGGCCATATGAAAACTATATGTGCATGCAGGGGTTTATTAAGTGCATGGAGAAGACAAAAATTATACAAGACAAGTTTTCATACCGTTATTGATAATGGATTCAGATGAGTTCTTTTCTTCCACATTCAGTTTCCACTTCAAAACTTTGTTTTCTCTTTGTGAGTCAAGTTCAGTCACCTCCAAATATCCTTTAGCAGGAAAATTCACTTGAATTGTACTAAAGTGATCAACAACAAAACCATCGTTGTCAAGCTTTGAAATGTCTATTTTAAACGTGTATGAATAATGCTCCTTTCCAGTAAATTTTAGCTGTATTTCATAATATCGATCAGTGTTGATGTCCTTCATGTCTTCATTATTATCATTATTTTCATGGAAGTCTTCACAATCAGTGGCCAATTTCAACATTGGAAATCCCACAAACTTCTCACGAACGAAAGAGCTGACAAAGACAACTTTAATATCTAATGTTCCCGTTTTTGACGATCTTCGATGGAATACATATGCATAAGCGTAAAAAAATTCGTTAAGATGACATAAAATACGAGGAATGTAAGAAGGTATAGCTGTAACGAAGATGTATGAAGAAAATGTGTTTATATTTATCAAAATCCTCTTTTCGTTTACATCAATGTCTTCCAAAAATTTCCACGTGGTCTTTTGCTTGTCATTCGAGTACGATCCATAAATAGCAACAATCTTCAAAGAACCATTATCTTCTCTCGAAATAGCTCTATCTCCATTAATGTTAATTTGCAATGGAGCAGGCTTCGAGAAATGTAGGCCGTTCGGAAGACACTGCAGATGACATATGCTACTTTTAAGAAGTTCCAAGTCCAGCAAACTTTTGATGTAGCTTGGATTGTTAACCTTGACCAACTTTATCATTGTACTGTCTTCTAAACAGCCAGGACCAATATCAAAGATAACGTCCTCCATCATTAAATTGCCACCACCAGAAGTGACCAGTTTTTCCACTTTACTGGACGTTGCCTTTGTATCTAAAAAATTTATCACACTTACATTCTTCAACTCCTGCGATTCCATTTCACTGTTTCCAGAATATGCTCACCTTTAGGCAGTAGGCTTAAATTTAATGAATGCGCTTTGACTCACTTGCTTCTTTAGTTTAATGAAGTTAAAATTTACGACATGGCCGGGTCACACATAAACACACATATCTCAATACAATAAAATTGTTGCTTCTTAGCTGCGATAAATGCGGGTGGGAGTGTCAGCAAATATTCATGTATGAATCCCATCATTTGCAGAAAACAAGTTATTTCATAGGATATAAACACAACAAAGCATGCATACATGAATATGGCCGCTGTAAATTAATGCGCTAATCGTGCCACTCAAACTCTTATGTACCTTAACTGTTTCTAGATTTTAAAAATTTTTTTAAACCCACATGATATTTTACCACTATAGAAATGAAAACCACATTTATAATTATAAGTAATTTCGCTTTTTTTATGAATAAAACAGTGTGCTTTCTCTAATGTTTTATGCATGTCAAACACTGACTTTTACAATACGTGAGGTTAAAGGACATAACGTTATAAGCAACAATAATTGTTAATTTCATACCTTTATTCAAAGATGAAAATGACTTTATTCTTTCAAAAGCTTGACTTTCACCATCAAACTAAAACATCGATCATTGAAATGTAGCTACATTCACAATTCACCAGATAAATGAAATAGATTTATAATTAATACTAACTTTATTAATATCTAACTATTACTAAATAAATTTATTACTATTATACTAACATGTCGTGAACTTCTAGTGATGTGTCGACATTTTTAATGTCAAACAGTTTAAATTGCCTTAAAATAAAGAAACTACGTTTTCCGTGTACACATTATCTGGGTCTTTTCCAATGCTGTTTATAAGTATTTATCAAGTTCGTACGCGTCTCAATCGGATTTTAGGAGCGTATTTTTTAACTGTTTGAAGAACGTTGATTGCTTTGACTGCTGTGTTAGAGCTTTATCTTTTTTTGATGTCCTTTTTTATCCAGTTTGAGCTTGTTTCTATTTTTACGAGGTATATAATTTGTTGGAAGTATATGCTCCTCGCTACTCAACACATTTCATGCAGTTGCTTTACGTTATGTTGGCGGAAGATTTCAATGAAATTAACAATCAAATTCAAAAGCATTGTACAAGTATGCATAGTGATTTTCATATCTGCTCCAAATGAAAATCATATGATCATAATGCATCCAATCATAGAGTAAAAACGATGATAGCCACATAATAGATATCATAATAGATACTTAAGAATGCAGACTACTAAACTTTCAACTTATATTATATTACCACATCTGAATTTGCGTGTAATTTTTTAAATTGCGAATTTGGTAACATTTTTAGTTTAAGTAGTTTATTATTTTATAGTTGACCATCACAAATCAAGAAAAATACAATGGAAAGTTTTTATAAATTTGTTCATCAAAAAGTCATGCAGGTTTGACGGTTCTCGAGTTCATACTCACTAAACTACCGTTGTTTTCTGGAAAATCTTTCTAAAAGTTTACTGTTAGAAGTACAGTAGACTCAAGACAGATTTTCCAGAAAAGAACGGTAACTGGTCTAAAAACAAGATGTGAGTAAGTAAATATTATTAATTAAATATACCAGATTGGTGGGAGACAAAATTTCATCCAAATCAAGCTTTATTTCTTCGAGGCATTTCTTCAATACATATCGATCAAATTTCTTTCTTTCATTAAAAATGACTAAAATTGCTTCAGATTTTGCGGAGTGGTTTGGATAAATTGTGTCGTAAACAGTAATTTCATCACGTATGTCAAAAGGTATTTCAAGAAGACCACCCAGTATATTCCAATCAGTTCCAACTTTCTGACCAATTTTCTCGATTTCCTCTGTTGTTAGTTTAGTGTATCTAAGATCAGCTAAATGTAGTAAAGAAAACATGTAAAGAAACACCGAATTATTAAACATCATCATCAGAAAAACGTGAACGTAAAGTCAATACACATAACACCGGATGAGGATGCAGGGAGTGGTACAGCTACTTGGAAGCTCTTACCCTATATAAATAATTTACGATAACACAGACCATACAACTTTGCCAATGTTTTTATTGGTAGAAATAAGCTCTTTCTCACGAAAGACGAAGTCTCGTCATCAATGATGATCAAACCGTAACATCTTGGCTGTAGAAAATTACCCAACAATTAGAAAAAAAGAAGATGATCAATGTGAAAACTGAAGATCCAATTGTCCATTGCAGAGTTTCTCGGACCATAAACGTCTTATCCTTATGATGCAAATCATGTTTTGCGCAAATAAATTGTAATTTCAGAATTGATTTTTTACATTGCGCATGAAAAACGTTTAAATCTCTACATTTTCAGCACACTTGATCTCATATTTGGCAACTACAAAATACTTTATTTACTAGAACAAAAACTTAAGTAAAAACCGACTTCTACTAATGGATGCACTCTTTATTAAATCCTACAAACCAGAACTTAACAATGGCCTGAAAGCCACTGATACAATCAACTTAATCTTCCCAAAAAAATTCAAACTTCCGCACTCACACTTCCTTCAAAATGATGGAAATAAACAGATATACAGGGAGCCACAGTTAGCTTGTAAGTATTTATCGATGAATTTGTAATGAACTCAAAACATTACAGAATGAAATAACTGCCTCGTTTGTTTTCTCAAATATTGAGGTCAAAATGGACCTTTTCTCCGGAGTATGTTTCATATTTTATACATGACACTAAATACTATAAATATAGTCAAAAGTTAGGGAATCCAAAACAATAAATCATATAAAAGTAACTCAAATTTTTCTCAATGCAGAAAAGATTTATCCACCCTTGACTTTTTACTATGTATTTTTATGATGCAAATGTGACTACTGAGAAAATACCATGTACTTGATGAAAAATAAAGAAATGTAAACAATATGTCTACATCATACATTAGCATCGAAAGAAGTCATTTTTTCGACTGGTACAATCATCCCAGCTTATATATCCAGGGCTGTCGTACTATTTATAATATTGAGGGGGCTCATAATGGGGAAATAATTGCATGAGAATGATGTAATACGTCGATAAACAATATATTTCAAAGAACTTAAAAATGTATATCATGCATAAGATGTGAACCTTAAATCAAAATTTCGTATTACCATATATTTACCTTGAAAACATCGTTTCTTCTTCTCTTCTCCAGAAAAAATAGCTATGGAAAAAGTAAAAAGTTCGTGTTTGCATGAAAGTCGACTCAAATAACAATATTCTTAACAAATTTCATAATGTGAATATTATACGTACGTTTATGTCAACGTTTATAATGTTACTAACATCTTAAAGACACGTTCAAAATTAATAAAAAATAAATCATCAAAACGTCTTTGTGTTTACGTTGTATGCATACGTAATAATAAAATTATTTTGGTTCGTGTATAGTATCCTAAAATTTTAATATCAACTGCATTATTTGAGGACAGTATATGTATGCAGGTCGCTTCAGTACTTTTTCGTCCAAAAATGGCAATAGATGCATCAACCAAAAACATAAAATACTGCTGCTTTTTGTTGACTATATAATTCCTCATATTAACCCTTTAGGTAGCAAACTTTTCAAAAAATGCTGGCCATTTTGTGGGGTGAATGTTACAAATCTCCTTCACTGCAACAAAAAGGGTTAAATCAAGGGAGTACGAATATATTTGCAAATTGAAAAAGTCAAAAGACGTGCGAATAGGGTATGAATGTGCGAATAGGATATGAATGTGCGAATTTGCCGTGGAAAGTGCAGGTCTCCTCGGGCCTTTTCAGTACCTTTATCTAATTATAGAGCGTTTGTATAAGTTATCTCTCCAGTTGAAATTACTTTTCCGTTTTTCTATGGTAAAAATTTTTCTTAAGAAAAATAGAATATACCGTTTGTAATTTGTAATTAAATCTCAACACTCATTCCTCTAGAGAGTATGACTACGCTTTAGACATTTTACTCTCACTTTTCATTGAAAATTTTACAATATATATTTATGGTAGTAATGGATTTTTTCTCATAATATTTTCTCTTCGAATTTAATTAAATAAAGACTGATAAGCAAAGAAATGATGTCAATATCCCGTAAAAATATGATGTAATCAAATTGCTATTGTACAACGATCACATAATTGAAGTGTAATTAAAAAAATGAGAAAATTCAAGCCAGTATGCTTACCCATAAGTTCTGGTTTGTTTTTCAATTCTTCATTTGACCTTACAGCAGCATGTACCCGAACAGGGAGATTAGGAAATATTCGGAGAAAATACGCCCTGTAATCACCAATCTTATAAAATGGTTCTGGTTGAGGTCTTGGCCGTGGTCGATCGTTCCAATGTTGGTTAATATTTCGAATAAGTCTTAAACATTCTGTCCATGAAGAGCCATATTTAAAAATCTTTCCAGTCACCACGTCCGTTCTAAAATAATCATAAACATCCCTATCCATTTGACTTTTCCAATCTGAGGATTCACTATTCAATTGTTGAACGACTCTACACAGGGGATCATTTGTCTTAATCTGCTGAAGATTCCCAACTTTACGTAACATTTCAAACTTCTCATCATCTGACATGAGAAATGGGTGTTTTAAAGCTTCGTTGGCAGATGGTCTTTCTTCTGGTGGTAGTTTTAGCATCCACGACAGAATGTCCTTTAGTGTTTCATCCTCGATTTCGTACAAGCCAACAGGGTTTCCATTCAGCATGTTGTCCAGTCGAAACCGTTTATTTCCAAAAGGATGCTTCCCTTTTGTTGCAACATAATATGCCACCATTCCTGCATTCTAAAAAATTAACAATGTAAAGTCACAAATTGACTGTATATATGCATGACTTGCTAATGGTTATATTCCTACACTTACCATTACATCAGACGCTTTCTTGTACCGTCCTTTATCGACTGTATCTTTATCTTCACAATATGATTCAGGAGCAATCCAATACTCATTTCCCTTGTTAGGTCTACTTGAATGTGTCGAGGAATCGTTATCCAATATTCGACTAATGCCAAAGTCAGCTATCAGAAAGTTGCCTCGTGTGTCTCGGAGAACATTGGTAGGCCTTAAGTCCCGATGAAGAATAGGATTTGGGCCGCTATGAAGATCAGCTAATCCTTTTAAAATTTGTCTAAGAATATCAGGAAGAGCTTTTTGAAGATCATGCAAAGTAGAACACTTGACAAATCTCTCCAATGATTCTTCACATAAGTCTAAGATCAAATAAACATAATCCGTTCCTATATCTTCTTCTAAGTAGAAATAATTCACAACATATTTTGACTTCTTTGCATTGAACTCATTCAAAATTTTTTTTTCGTGATGTGCAAGCTGGATGCAGCCATCTCGATGTATTCGTTTCACTGCTTTACCGTAACCATCCTTATCCAGTCCAAGAAAAACACGGGTTGCATCACTTCCTTCGCCAATGCAAAATTCTTCTGAGAATATTACACGCACATTGCCAACCACTTTAACCTCAACACTGGGATTGCATCCATATTCAATCAATTTTAAAAGCAATTCTCGATGTTTCGTTGATTCATCAATGTATTTCCACTCTTCTAGATAAAAATATTACATTCAAGGGTTAAACAAACAAAATAAATACGTCAAAATAACTTAAACTTCCCCAATTAGGAAACGATATCGATACCGCACAATTTTAAAAAACGTATTAACACTTGTTAGACATATCATAAACTTTTTAACTGGTAACACTCGAGGCTAGCTTATACAAAACAATTAGTAACAAAAACTTCTCTCTGCAGTAATTTCATGAATTTTTGTTAAGGAGTAACCTTGCGTTTTTCGAAAATACTAAATTAAAAATTTGAGAGCAAATATTTTTTAGTCTAAAAATTTTTTTTACATTAAAACATAACAAAATAGCTTCATTTAATTTTTCTTTCTATTCTCGACACTCGTCTTTTAGACAGTCTATCTTATGTTTGTTGCCAAACATTAACATTACAGTTCGATCTTTACAATTAATCTCTCAAACCTTGTTTGGACATCTTAAAGTGCCAATGAAACAAAAAATATGCTAGTTAAATTATATCTGTATTGACCAGAACTTTTAAAATGACAGGGTGCCTTGTAAAACCTTTTCTGATAAACTTTTTTTATTATAAAAATACAGAAGTCCTTGCAATTACCAATTTATCTAACTTGTGACAACATATTGCATGCAAAATGAGTCGCTGCAATGTTTCAAATAGCCTTCATTTTCCTGACAACTTTAGGTTGATAATAGTACGCAGTATTTTATATCATTAACACATCACAAAGTAGGAAACTCCGCCATGTTAAAAAATGTATCAGCAAATTCACCTAATACATCAAGTTCTTATAATCCAGTGTGATATCAGATAAATCGGACATAATAAAAACTTCAATATCTCGAGAATGAAAAGTGATATGAATAAACTAGTACAGAAAGTCCATTATCATATTAAAATGTCTGTTCAATAAAAGTATAGCACAGGTTGCTAAATTTTCGTTTCATAGGCATTTTATGCTTAAACTCTAAATTATCTTACACGTACTGTTTCTCTTATTCATTGTAAAGTGAACCTCGTTATCTACATTTCTGCAAACTCAAACTCTACCTCATGCTTTTTCTCATTCTCGTGCAACATTGTTAGTATTAACAATAGAGACTTTGTCGTGGTGACAAATCTGAAAATCGTTTTGAAGATCGCAAATACCACTGTAAATTACTTTTACCATTCACCATGGTATTTGCGATCTTCAAAACGATTGCTAGTATTGTTTTCCTTTGCCGAGTTGAAAATGGTTATTTGCAGTTTTCAATTATTTTATTAAGCATATGATGATTTATTTGAAAGAAACAATTTGTTTGTCATGTGTTTATTGTGTCAGGGTTTTTCTTATCAAGAAAATTTCCTTTTTGAGGAAATTTTTGCATAGGGAGAAAAAGAATCATGCAATTCAATAAATTTTTACAACCACGAAAGAAGAAAGCGATTTAAATTCTTATCATATCTTTCAGTCCTTTTGATAAAAATCTTGTCTGTTTTAGGCCACGTCCACACGAATCTGGATACATTTGAAACTTCATACTTAACTGTAAAACCGCACTAAAGTATTTTCGTCCACACGAATTTAATTGAGACATCGAATTCTGTCTATTATAAACATAAAAAAAGCGAGTTCAAGATTACAAATATTGTGCTCTCATGTTGAATTTTGGTAGAAAAGGGGGAAAATCAAAACGAAAAGAGTTCCTATGGAGTGACGATGAAACAGAACTATTATTAAATGTTATTAACGATTACAAAACTCTAAAGCAGGCGAAAACGTCGACTGGCAATTAGTGCAATCACAATAGTCTGACATATTAAATTTATTCCAAGAGCAATATCCTAGTAAAGATAAAGCTGAAGAGAATGGCAAAGATTTTCCTCACAAAACAGTAGAAACAACAAAGGCTATTGTAACGATAAAGATGAAGAATATCCGTTCAAAATACAGAGAGGCGATAGACTCCGGTAAGAAAAGCGGCCATGGCAGGGTTTTTATACTATTTTTTGAGCTGTGCGAACATATATGGGGTGGTTCACCTGCTACGAAGACAATAATAAGTGGAATGGAAAGTGTGGATTTCACAAGAGAAATACATGATTATTCTATTGAGCCCAGTGAGGCACGAGATATAATGTTAGCTCTCCTGAAGATTCTGTAGCTCAGCCTGCTGCCAGTATAATAGATAAAAGAAGAAGTCTTTTGGATTCTAAACTTAAAGGCTATATACAAGAAAAACGCAAACGGAAGCTGTCAGCCGAGTCACAACTGCTACATAGTGCTCAAGATGAAATTCAAATTAAGACAAATTTGATAGAGAATATTGAAAGCATGAATAAGATTCATGCTACACACATGGAGAAGCTTCAAGTCAACATGCAGTAATTAACAGGATCTATTGCAGATAAATTTTCAATGTTGAGACACATAATGAGCCAGCCTAATCAGCATTCACAAATGTCACATTACATGCCACCAGCATTGAACAATTCAAATGGTTTTATAAATCCTGCTTTTCAAGTATCACAATATAATGCTGCTTTACAAAGCCAGATAGGAAAAACAGGTGTCTCGTGTACACAAGAACCGTACTTGGATGGCAGTTCATCTTCAGATATGTTTTCCTCTTAATTTAATGTTCTGGTAGAACATATAAAAATGAACACCTAAAGACCTGTTGATGTGTGTTGAAAGAATTTATATTAAAGTTTGTTTCATTGACTCTCATTAACCATTTAAGTAAAAACATTTCGTCTGCTTTCATTTAGTTGTTGCCTTAAAATCTAGAAAGTTCAACTACATTGTTCCTCATCAGATTTTTCTTTAAAATATATGAGTATTATATTTGAACAAAACTACTTTATAACTCTTGTGTGAATTTACATTTCCATGCGTACACACTGTAAAAAAGAGTATTTCATTATCTTGTGCTTTAATATTTGAATGTTAAGGATCAAAGAATGTTGTGAGAGCTTTTCTTATCCGTTTCCCTTCCATTTAATTTGAGTCTGTAATGTAATTATTAGTTTGCTGTAGGGGTCGGAAGTTCTTATCATAGTTGATGGAAGACATGACATGCTCCTCATTGACTCACTCATTGTTCAGCTCGCAAAAGTTGTTCAACATGAAACATGCATATATTACATATGGCAATTCTTCCAAATTAATGTCCATTGAACGCCTTAGTGCCCCAAACCAGGCTTTAAGCCGACCAAACACACATTCAATAACCATTCGGGTTTGCACAACATTAAAACCAAAGTATTGTTCTGATTGAGTAGATCCACCATTGCTTTATTCTTTCATTAGATACGGTAACAAAGAATAAGCTGGACCTCTAAGGAGTAGAAATGGTACTGCACCTTGCTCAGTACTTTCTGGCAGCAGTATTTTTGAACGAGGTATTTTTCCACTTCACAAAGCAGAATTCACATGAGAATTTGCAAATACCCGTGCATCATGTACACTTCTAGGCCACTTTATGACTAGGTCCATGCAACAATACTTGTGGTCACAAACAGCTTGCACGTTCAATATCTTGATTTCCTGTTGATGTAGTCAGTTGAGTTGACTTTTGACTGTTTGATCTCCATGTGTGTGCCATCAACTGCTCCTAAGCATTGGGGAAAGTTATGAGAGTGATAAAAGTTTCTTACTAACTCTTCCACTTCTTTTTATGTCACAGGCATCCTGATATACTTTGGTCCTCAATGAACCGATATCGCATGACAAACCTTTACGACAATATTTGACACAGTTTGACGAGCAATTCCAAATGCAATGGCAGTTTTGCGTAGGCGTCCTTCATCGCTAAGATAGTAAAGGATACAAGCAACTTGCTTGACAACACCAATTGGGGTTCTCATATTTGTAGCTATGCTTTCAATATATGGCGTTAATTCTTCAGCCAATTTATAAAGAGACTGCCTTGACATTCGGAAGTTCTCTTTCCACTCATCTTTTATGGCTATACCCAATTGTATGTTGTCTCACCAAAAACTGCTTCAGCCAAGACGAACCTAGAATCGTCTTGGTCGGCGGCGAAAGCGACGTTGTAATTACAATCACTTAACTATTGTTTGATTGGAACTAATTGACTCAATAGCTTGAATGAGTCAAAATTTCCTTCTCAAATGAGTAGCTACTACAGATACTATTGCGATATTCATTTCAATGTATGCAAAAAGAGCAGACATTACCGAAAACAAAGTAGAAAGTGCAATATTCTTTTTTGCCATGTTGATTTGTGGTTGCATATGTATACAGTTCAAGTGTCCACACGAATTCAAAGAAACTGCTGAATCTACAAAAATCCACTTTGAAGAAAGATTTTAAAAGTATCCAATTTCAGAAGGCGGTTTCTCTGGTTTCGTGTGGACGAAAGGCCGATTCGCGTAGTTAACTACGTGATTTCAAATAAATTTGGATTCGTGTGGACGGGACCTTAGAAACCTGTAAAAGAAATCATGATGTTGTAGCGTTAAAATATAATAAATTGACAAGATAAGCAACGCGAACGATGCCAGCAAATGATCGAATTTCTGGTTTCAAATGTTGTAACATCTTTGTATTTGGATGCATTTTATAGACGATGCCGAACATTTTAATTATCTTTAACTACCACCATCACCTTTAAATAATTTGACAAATTTTCTCGTACAATACAACGCTCCTTTGGAGCTCTCTTATAAAAAGAGTTAAAGAGAGCAATTGAGCAAAGCATTTCCACGCTTTCACATAAAATTTTCAGATCAATTTTATATCTATCTATCTGATTGTCTATTTATTTATCTATTAGTCTATTTGAATTAAGTTTAATGTAGACTACGTTTGCTTTACAAGAAATCAGTCACCACAACTGTAGATATGAAAACACACCTCCCCCCACTAAAAGTTATAGTTTCAGGCCTCCATGCAGTGGTCCGTGCTACAATATCTAAGAAAACATGATAAAGCCATTAAGTTCTCTAAACGATATTTCAGCAGCAGCGTTATTAAGCACTCCCTCCCCCATCCACTAAAAGTTCTAGCTTCGGCCTTTTGTACAGTAGTCAGTGCTACAATATCTGAGAAAACATATTACAGCCATTGAGTTCTTTAAGCGACATTTCAGCAGCAGCGTTACTAAACTCCCCCTCTCCACCCCACTAAAATTTATAGTTTCGGCCCTCTATTACAGCGGTCCGTGCTACATTATGAAAATATGATACCGTCATTGGGTTCTGTAAGCGATATTTCAGCAGCAGCGTTACTAAACACCCCCTCCCATCTCCACTACAATTTCTAGTTTCGGCCCTCTATACCGCCGTCCGTTAAATAAAAACGTTTGGTCTATGGTTAATTTGCACTAACCCAATCCGTATGAATAGACAGTATTTGTAAGAAAATTGCTAAAAATGAGCACTTTCCAACTAAAGCTAAGAATTCATGATGATAAACAAGTGAAGGTTCTCCTTGTCTTCCTCGTGGTTATTCCTACACCTCCTATTGTTTAGTTTTTCTCTACGTTTCTTACTATGTACATAACTGATAATTGCCTTCACCCTATCTACGTAGAACCTGTTTATATGAGACCGGAACGAGGTAAAACCGGAAAGAAAATCTAATTTTGTTGCATGTTTACATGGGACTCAGCAAAATGCAATACTTACAGTAGTGACTATAGACAACGGCTTACATTAGAAAGTTTGTATACCAACTTGGAACAAACTTCCCTGAACAGATCACAGCAATTATCGGCACCTTACAAACGACTTATTCACAATACAAACAAACGATCAACTGAAAAAATTACACTTCAGACTAATTTACAATGACAATAGACAACTAAAACATCACACTTAAATCCCACATCACAACTAAAAACATTTCACTTCACATTAATTCACAATGACAATACACATTTGACACCCACACATTTCCTGTACACAAAATACAATGACCTACGAACCAGATAACAAATACGGCTAACCTGACTAATTTGACTCTGAAGATGACTACCGCTAAGGTTGGCGAAACGTCACACAACAACAACAAAAACAGTCCTTCTCAGGACTATACCAACCTAAACGATCTACATTTACAAACATGATAATATTGTTCTTGGTCAATTAGTTAAAGTGCATGATAAAAGTTTGAATGAAGTTATTGAAAAACAAAGAGAGAAGGGACTTACTCTCATCTCAGATAAATGTAGATTTCTACATCTAAAACTAACTTCATATAACATTTGTAACCTGAAAGATGTATTGGCGCAGAGAAAAAAAATCCAAAGCTATGGCGCAAGATAAAGAACTGAAAAAAAACAACTTAATTTCAATGTTTGCTTTGTCTAGAAAATTTTGTAGTCGTTATATCCCCGATTTAGAAGATTCACAAACCTTTTGCATCAAATAACTCGGACAAAAGTATCATCTTTTGTTTGGGTGTAAAAAATAGAGTAAAGCGCTTCAAAAAACAACTAAAAATACGTCTTTCTGGATGCAACGAGGAAAACAGTTAAAATTGGGTTACGAAGAATTTTACCAAAAACTAATTGGTTATTATAACTGTTTATACTTGTCATACCACTTAAACACTCGTCATTTTGCTTATGTTGAACAGTTTACCCAAGGTTTGCATTCAATTACTTATGATTTTTGAGTAAAAAGGCATGAGTTTTACTTGCCGTCAATATTAGGTTTGCGACGCTTACTCCTGGCTTCACTTGTTCCTTCATAAAAACTAGAAGACGCTTCCTCTGGTGTAAGTTTGGTGTATCTATGATCATCTAAAATAGAGTAACAAAAACATGTAACACCAATTTTGTTACACCACATGAGAACAAAAGCTTGGTGTCAGAATAGGAAAAAAAGGTGCAATTACCCACCGTTGTATGGAAACGTTTGTCCCTATGGTTAATTTACACTAACACAAACCGTATGAATAGATAGTGGTTGTAAAAAATTGATAAAAATGAGTACTTCCCTAACTAAAGCTAAGACTTCGTCATTCATTTCGAAATTTATAACTAAATCTCAACACAATTCTTTCTAGAGAGAATGACTACGCTTTAGACATTTTATTTTCACTTTTTATTAAAAAATTTTAAAATATATATTTATGGTAGTAAGGAATATTTTTTCTCGTAATATTTTTTTCTAATAAAGTAAATGGTTTGAACCCGGGAGTATCGTTACATGTTTGTAAATGTAGATCGTCCAGGTTGGTATAGTCCTGATAAGGACTGTTTTTGTTGTTGTTGCAGTTCTTTTGACTCTGAAGATGACTACCGCTAAGGTTGTCGACACAAAGCCACCACAATCAGAACATTAACAAGACGTGCACAAATGATATATGAGTAACCGGACGCTCTACACAACGAAAACAACTATCTCAAACGTGTTTTTGACAAAAACAACTATAACCATGACTTTAATAAATGCAACACTTACAAGCGCAACGAACCCAACGAAACGAAAAACTCAGTGACAACAGCAACGATATTTTACATCAAATGTAGGTCTGAGACTATCTCGCGTATCTTACGACCAAACAACATACGTGTCGCACATAAACCAATCACAACGTTACGACAAATACTAACGAACATAAAGGAAAAAGAACAACCCAACGAAATGACAAGGTGCAGTTTACAAAATAAACTGCTCCGACTGCCACGCCTCCTATATCGGAGAAACTGGCAGGAACTTAAACATAAGACTTGCTGAACACAAACGAGCTAATAAGAAACAAGACAAAACTAATCACATTGCCGAACGTCACCGAATCACAAAGCACAACATTGACTGGGACTCGGCAAAATGCATTACTTACAGTAGTGACTATAGACAACGGCTTACATTAGAAAGTTTGTAAACCAACTTGGAACAAACTTCCCTGAACAGATCACAGCAATTACCGGCACCTTACAAACGACTTATTCACAATACAAACAAACGATCAACTAAAAACATTACACTTCACACTAATTCACAATGACAATAGACAACTAAAAACATCACACCTAAATCCCACATCACAACAAAAAACATTTCACTTCACATTAATTCACAATGACAATACACATTTGACACCCACACATTTCCTGTGCACACAATACAATGAGGTAAGAACCAGGTAACAAATACGGCTAACCTGACGTTTACTCCTCATTTGACTCTGAAGATGACTACTGCTAAAGTTGTCGAAACGTCAGTTAACAACAACAAAAACAGTCCTTCTCAGAACTATACCAACCTAAACGATCTACATTTACAAACATGATAATATTGTTCTTGGTCAATTAGTTAAAGTGCATGATAAAAGATTGAATTAAGTTATTGAAAAACAAAGAGAGAAGGGACTTACTCTTAACTCAGATAAATGTAGATTTCTACATCTAAAACTAACTTTATATAACATTTGTAACCTGAAAGATGTATTGGCGCAGAGAAGAGAAGGCCAAAGCTATGGCGCAAGATAAAGAACTAAAAACAAAAACTTAATTTTGAATTTTGCTTGGTCTAGAAAATTTTCGTATTCTTTATGTAACCCGATTTAGAAAATTCACAAATCTTTTGCAACAAATAACTCGGACAAAAGTATCAATGATGATCAAACAGTAACAGCACCTTAGCTGTGGAAAATTACCCAACAATTAGAAAGAAAGAAGATGATCAATTTAAAAACTGAAGATCGCATTTGTCAATTTCGGAGTTTCACCGATATCTCGGACCATAAACGTCTCATCCTTATGATGCAAATCATGTTTTGCGTAAATAAATGGTAATTTCAGTTTTAATTTTTTCCATTGTGCTTGAAAAACGTTTAAATCTCTACATTTTCAACACACTTGATCTCATATTTGGCAACTACAAAATACTTTATTTACTAGAAAAAGTTAAAGAAAAACCGACTTCTACAAATGGATGCACTCTTTATTAAATCCTACAAACCAGAACTTAACAATGGCCTGAAAGCCAGTTATACATTAATCTTACCAAAAAATTCACACTTCCGCACTCACACTTCTTTCGAAATGATGGAAATAAACAGATATACAGAGAGCCACAGTTAGCTGTTAAATAACTATCGTCTGATGATGAAATTGTAATGAATTCAAAACATAAAAAAATGAAATAACTGTCTCGTTTGTTTTCTTAAATATTGAGGTCGAAATGGACCTTTTCTCCGGAATATGTTTCTTATTTCATACATGACACTAAATATTATATATAGAGTCAAAAGTGAGGAAAACAAAAACAAGAAATCATATAAAAGTAACTCAATATTTTCCCAATGCAGAAAAGATTTTCTACTCTTGACTCTTTACTATGTATTTTTATGATGAAAATGTGACTACTGATAAAATATTTGAATCAAAACTGTAGATCATGCAATTATTGTAATGAAACAAACATTAAATGAAGTTAAATGAAGATATGATCTTCGCACTTTGTTGATTTATAATCGTCTCAGGACATGAAAAATCAGGTGACTCAACTTTGTTGACTCAACGGGATCCCGTTGAGTCACCTGATTTTTTCAGGTCCTGAGACGATTGCTTAAATTGTCCAACAAAGTGCGAAGATCATATCTTCATTTAATTTCAAATACCGCACTGCATAAAGCATTCTTGAAACAAACATTGATACAAATAATGAAAGACTTAGAAAAGATCATAGTGTTATTGACATGCAATAATATTTGTTGATTTCTTACCTTTATATAAAGACTCAGATGAATTTAATCTTGAAAAAGGTGCACTTTCACGATCAAACTAAAACATCATTGAAATGTACATTCTACTATCGATAAAACAAATTGATATTATCACAACAAGCACAAGTAATTAAAATCATAAGCTTCGTGTGTCGCTACATTTATAAAGATTCATCTTTTTTTACGCCTTGCCATTAAATCATCTCAAAATAAAGAAATAATCAACGGCTGTCGTACATATTTTTATCAGTGCCTTTTCTGTCATTGCTATTTAAGTGTTGGTGCTAGAAAAATTGTGCATGTCCGAGTTAGACTTTCTGATGGTACTTCTTTTAATTGGTTTTAAAAAGTTAATTTTCCTTTCACTGTTAGGACCTTTCTTTCATTTTTGCGTAACACAAGACGTAAGGAATATGCTTGTCAGCACTTAGTACTTACTTTTCAATTGCTTTTCGCAAACTCAAAAATCTGGTACAAGTATTCAGACAAATTGTAATGGTAAAGGTCCGAAATTCCGCTGGAGTTTCAAAACTACATACCATGTACGCGATTTTTAACCTAGCTATAACACTACAAAACTGAGTTCATTTAATGATTTTATATATTATCGAATTGGTAGCAACAGTGATTTACTTTTGGAATGCATTAATCTGTTTTTTTCTTTCTTATATCAAACTTACAAAAAAAATGAGAGAAAACTAAGGAAATTTTACGGTTTTCAAGTCTATATCTTGACAATGCACCCTACTGTTCTTTTATTAGAGATCTTTCTTATAATCTACAGTTGATGAAACGTAACTACATGTAGGGGCATAGCCAGAACTTTAATATGTTTTTTAAAAAGGGGGGGAGAGAGCAAACCTCAAACGTAATAAATGATAGATCGCTTTCCTTAAGTCAAAAATTTATGATCTGTCGTCTGTTATAAAAAAGGTTCTATCATTCTGGACGTTTGTAAAGGATTTACCAGTCTCTCGAGTTTATTAAATTAAAAACTATTAATTTTAGAAATTTCACCTAGTTTCTGAACTGGTTGAGAATGCCAGAGTTTTTTCAATAAATTGCGAATTTGCAACCTAAGTTTTTGTACGTATCCTTCTGCTATAACTGTATATATACAATAAGCAGCAGCCTGGTAACTCTACATTCATTAGGCAAAATTGCTAAATCTAAAAGACATTTACTTAATTTACGGTAAGAATAGCTCTAGTACATTAAATGCTATGCGGTATATATCAAAAATCATGTCTTCTTGGGCTCTTGTCTAACTCCTGTTTTAGCGAACGTAATTCTTATTGAATTTGAGTGTATGGTTGACTCAGATCTTATTCAAGACAACGCGATTATATTTTAACTGAGATTCGTTGATAACATATTTTTCCTAATCACACCTTCTCTCATTTTAAATGTTCTCAACAAATTTTTCATGTTTTATCCCCATCTAAAATTTGATTACTGTCGACACTTTAAAAGATGATGATCTGACTACTATGGCAATACTACAAACACTGGCATATACTATCGTTTCACGATCTTTGAACCTTTCACTATAAGCATATGTCTTTCAATTGGCTACAAAAACATGACACACATATCAACTCAAGTGCTATATAAAAAAGACTGACTAAAACAACCAAAACTAAGTTTTTCTGGATGCAACGAAAACAACCAATTAAAATTGAACTATAGAAAGCTATTACCAAAATGTAATTGGTTATTACAAAACTTTATACTTGTTTATCAGTAGTGTAGCTAGCCTGCATGTTTTAGTCCCGCTATGTAAATTTTAGAACATTAACATTATTCATTTCTTCAGAAATCTATTGTTTTTACAGCAAGGGAACACCGAAAAATTAACATAGCAGAACCAAATTTGCGGGCTGGCAACGCCACTGTTGTTTATACGATTTTTGTTTGGTTGAAACAAGCGTTTGATAATGGTCGCAACCACTTTTACTTTAAGCCAGTATTTATTTTAAAGTGAACTTGCTCAATTTCTCACTTAGGTCCGCGACCATGAAATTCTTACAATCTAACAGCATTCATATTCCTGATCTTGGCAATACTCTTTAGAAAACCTAATTTTAAACCATTTTCACATTTCACAGGCTACTAAAATTACTAATTACAACGCGCTTGCCTTCCCATACAGTCTAATACAAATCTAAAAAGTCTTGACAAGTAAAAAAATTAATGTTGATAGTTAACGTATTTTAAACATGCGAAATGCTCCTGTAATTAACTAAGAACGTTGACGACAAGCGCAAACTAAATTAAGATACTGGAAGACCGGGATCACGATAAACAGACATTAAAACAAAGCTGATGAAGTCTAGAGATTCTCGTAAGGGATATGTATATACAAAATCAGTAATATTTCTTTATTTTCAAAAAATCTTGTTAGATCATACTATCCCGTAATTTTCAAATTAGCTTGGACTCTTTGAAAACATCATTTCTGTATAATGATTAAAAAAAGGGGTTTATCGTCAATCGTCTCAAAACTTCTAAAATATGTTGAGTATGTTAGGTGTCTATTGCATCGTGTTTTATGTGTAAACTTTAAGTTAATCAGTATTGTTATTAACTCTTGTAATTTAGATGAAGTTCTTCGCTAACACTCATGACACTCATCCTTGAGAACATATTAGAATTATTCACAGGGTGTATACTTAAAAACAAAGTATGTAAATAAATACCTAATGGTTACCTGTCTTCGTCGAGACAAAACTTTATCCAAATCAAGACATATTTTTTCAACATAATAATTCAATATATGTCGATCAAAGTTCGTTTCCTCATTGAAGATCTCCAAAATCTTTTTACACCTTGCGGAAAAATCTGGATATTTTTCGCGGTTAAAAATAATTTCATCAATTTGGACTGAAGGTATTCCTAGAAGAAAACCCAGTCGTCTCCATCTAGTTGCAACTTTCTGACTAATTTTATCGATTTCCTTTGGTGTAAGTTTGGTGTATCTATGATCATCTAAAATGGAGTAACAAAAACATGTAACACCAATTATGTTACGGAACATGAGAACAAAAATTTTGCGTAAGACTGGGAAAAGAAGAGGTGCAATTACCCACTGTTGCAAGGAAACGTTTGGCCTATGTTCAATTTACAATAACCCAAACCGTATGAATAGACAGTGTTTGTAAGAAAATTGCTAAAAATGAGCACTTTCCTAACTAAACCTAAAACTTCGTCATTCATGATGAAAAACAAGTAGAGGTTCCCCTTGTCTTTCTCGAGTTTATTCACACACCTCCTATTGTTTGGTTTTTCTCTACGCTTCTTACTATGTACATAACTGATAATTGCCTTCACCCTATCTACGTAGGCCCTGTTTACAAGAGGTCAGAACGAAGTCAAACCGGAATGAAAATAAAATTTTGTTGCATGTTTACATGGGACAGGCACGAAATCACGAAAAATCCTCCTTCGTGTAATGCCTTCGGTGTCAACAGCAACGATAACTTACATCAAAGGTACGTCTGACACTATCTGGCGTATCTTACAAACATACAACATACGTGTCGCACATAAACCAATCACAACGTTACGACAAGTACTAACGAACATAAAGGACAAAGAACAACCCAACGAAATGACAAGGTGCAGTTTACAAAATAAACTGCTCCGACTGCCACGCCTCCTATATCGGAGAAACTGGCAGGAACTTAAACATAAGACTTGCTGAACACAAAAGAGCTAATAAGAAACAAGACAAAACTAATCACATTGCCGAACGTCACCGAATCACAAAGCACAACATTGACTGGGACTCGGCAAAATGCATTACTTACAGTAGTGACTATAGACAACGGCTTACATTAGAAAGTTTGTATACCAGCTTGGAACAAACTTCCCTGAACAGATCACAGCAATTACCGGCACCTTAAAAACGACTTATTCACAATACAAACAAACGATCAACAAAAAAAATTACACTTCACACTAATTCACAATGACAATAAACAACTAAAAACATCACACCTAAATCCCACATCACAACTAAAAACATTTCACTTCACACTAATTCACAATGGCAATACACATTTGACACCCACACATTTCCTGTGCACACAATACAATGACGTAAGAACCAGATAACAAATACGGCTAACCTGACGTTTACTCCTCATTTGACTCTGAAGATGACTACTGCTAAGGTTGTCGAAACGTCAGTTAACAACAACAAAAACAGTCCTTCTTAGAACTATACCAACCTAAACGATCTACATTTACAAACATGATAATATTGTTCTTGGTCAATTAGTTAAAGTGCATGATAAAAGATTGGATTAAGTTATTGAAAAACAAAGAGAGAAGGGACTTACTCTCAACTCAGATAAATGTAGATTTCTACATCTAAAACTAACTTTATATAACATTTGTAACCTGAAAGATGTATTGGCGCAGAGAAGAGAAGGCTAAAGCTATGGCGAAAGATAAAGAACTAAAAACAAAAACTTAATTTTGAATTTTGCTTGGTCTAGAAAATTTTCGTAGTCTTTATGTAACCCGATTTAGAAAATTCACAAATCTTTTGCAACAAATAACTCGGACAAAAGTATCAATGATGATCGAACCGTAACAGCATCTTGGCTGTGGAAAATTACCCAACAATTAGAAAGAAAAAAGATGATCAATTTAAAAACTGAAGATCCCATTTGTCAATTTCGGAGTTTCACCGATATCTCGGACCATAAACGTCTCATCCTTATGATGCAAATCATGTTTTGCGTAAATAAATGGTAATTTCAGTTTTAATTTTTTCCATTGTGCTTGAAAAACGTTTAAATCTCTACATTTTCAACACACTTGATCTCATATTTGGCAACTACAAAATACTTTATTTACTAGAAAAAAAAGTTAAAGAAAAACCGACTTCTACAAATGGATGCACTCTTTATTAAATCCTACAAACCAGAACTTAACAATGGCCTGAAAGCCAGTTATACATTAATCTTACCAAAAAATTCACACTTCCGCACTCACACTTCTTTCGAAATGATGGAAATAAACAGATATACAGAGAGCCACAGTTAGCTGTTAAATAACTATCGTCTGATGATGAAATTGTAATGAATTCAAAACATAAAAAAATGAAATAACTGTCTCGTTTGTTTTCTCAAATATTGAGGTCGAAATGGACCTTTTCTCCGGAATATGTTTCTTATTTCATACATGACACTAAATATTATATATAGAGTCAAAAGTGAGGAAAACAAAAACAAGAAATCATATAAAAGTAACTCAATATTTTCCCAATGCAGAAAAGATTTTCTACTCTTGACTCTTTACTATGTATTTTTATGATGAAAATGTGACTACTGATAAAATATTTGAATCAAAACTGTAGATCATGCAATTATTGTAATGAAACAAACATTAAATGAAGTTAAATGAAGATATGATCTTCGCACTTTGTTGGACAATTTAAGCAATCGTCTCAGGACATGAAAAAATCAGGTGACTCAACTTTGTTGACTCAACGGGATCCCGTTGAGTCACCTGATTTTTTCAGGTCCTGAGACGATTGCTTAAATTGTCCAATGCGAAGATCATATCTTCATTTAATTTCAAATACCGCACTGCATAAAGCATTCTTGAAACAAACATTGATACAAATAATGAAAGACTTAGAAAAGATCATAGTGTTATTGACATGCAATAATATTTGTTGATTTCTTACCTTTATATAAAGACTCAGATGAATTTAATCTTGAAAAAGGTGCACTTTCACGATCAAACTAAAACATCATTGAAATGTACATTCTACTATCGATAAAACAAATTGATATTATCACAACAAGCACAAGTAATTAAAATCATAAGCTTCGTGTGTCGCTACATTTATAAAGATTCATCTTTTTTTACGCCTTGCCATTAAATCATCTCAAAATAAAGAAATAATCTACGGCTGTCGTACATATTTTTATCAGTGCCTTTTCCGTCATTGCTATTTAAGTGTTGGTGCTAGAAAAATTGTGCATGTCCGAGTTAGACTTTCTGATGGTACTTCTTTTAATTGGTTTTAAAAAGTTAATTTTCCTTTCACTGTTAGGACCTTTCTTTCATTTTTGCGTAACACAAGACGTAAGGAATTTGCTTGTCAGCACTTAGTACTTACTTTTCAATTGCTTTTCGCAAACTCAAAAATCTAGTACAAGTACTTAGACAAATTGTAATGGTAAAGGTCCGAAATTCCGCTGGAGTTTCAAAACTACATACCATGTACGCGATTTTTAGCCTAGCTATAACACTACAAAACTGAGTTCATATATTGATTTCATATATTATCGAATGAATAGCATCAGTGATTTTGTTTTGGAATGCATTAATCTGTTTTTTCTTTCTTATATCAAACTGACAAAAAAAATTAGAGAAAACTAAGGAAATTTTACGGTTTTCAAGTCTATATCTTGACAATGCACCCTACTGTTCTTTTATTAGAGATCTTTCTTATAATCTACAGTTGATGACACGTAACTACATGTAGGGGCGTAGCCAGAACTTTGATATGTTTTTTACAAAGGGGAGGAGAGGGCAAACTTCAAACGTAATTAATGATAGATCGCTTTCCTTAAGTCAAAAATTTATGATTTGTTTCTTATAAAAAAAGTTCTATCATTCTGGACGTTTGTAAAGGATTTACCAGACTCTCGAGTTTATTAAATTAAAAACTATTAATTTTAGAAATTTCACCTAGTTCCCGAACTGGTTGAGAATGCCAGAGTTTTTTCGATAAATTGCAAATTTGACAGCTAAGTTTTTGTATGTATCGTTCTGCTATAACTGTATATATACAATAAGCAGCAGCCTGGTAACTCTACATTCATTAGGCAAAATTGCTAAATCTTCTAGTGTTGTAGACACGCCCTTTAAAAGTGACAATGACATATATAGATATATATAGGAATGAGAAATGTTGTTTACGGACAGATATTCGAGAGCACAATAGATAGACAATAAAGGAGGAAGCTAAATTGTAAACATTACATTGGCGACGAGGAATAAAATATCAACGCAAACATGGCAACATTTTTATCTCCCATGCCACATTTCAATCCGGATGAAGAAATCGGAGGAAACATTGCAAATAGATGGCGCACGTGGTTGGCAGATTTTAAAACATTTTTAACAGCCAGTAATATAACAAATAGAACTCGGCAACGGGCTTTACTTCTTTATCAAGCAGGACCCCGAATTCGAGAGATATTTCGACAATTTCCAGACCCGGGAGAAGATGATGATTTTGCTAAAGCGGAAATACTTCTTACGGAGTATTTTGAACCACAGAAAAATCGGTTATATGAAGTTTACAAATTTCGACAAGCAAAGCAAGTAGAGTCCGAAACAATCGACCAATTTCATACAAGACTGCGCTCATTATCTGAGAACTGTGAATTTGCTGATGTAGATTTTGAGATAATGGTTTAAATTGTTATTGGCGGACGATCCAGTCGTGTACGAAAACAAGCATTAAGAGATCCTAAATATACCTTAAAAGATCTGTTGCTTGAAGCAAGGCGTGAAGAAACAAGTAAAGTACAAGCGGCGGACATCAAAGAGCACTTGGACAGCCACGTTTTACATACACTAAAAAAACCTACGAATAAAAACTCCCAAGCCGATAAACCACAGAAGATATGCTTTTACTGTGGAGGTAACTACCCCCATTTAGACAAACCGTGCCCAGCGAAGAACAAAACATGCGCCAAATGCGGGAAGTTAAATCATTTTGCAAGCCAATGTCGCAGCCGAAACTCGCAGAAAATCAAAACACCCGCTAAATCACGCCAAGACATACGACCGGTAAAGGCTGATGAGGAGAAAGATAGCAGTAGCGACAATAATTCGGAATACTGTTATGCGGTTTGTATCAACAACAAGCCTAAACGTCCTGAAACGTCAATATCGCTCAACGGACTATATGTCAGAATGACAATTGACACTGGTTCAAGCATAAATATAATCGACAAGAAGACTTTCCGGAGAGCTTGAACCCACATCCGTGAAAGCATACCCGTTTAACTCAAAAACGCCAGTCAAGATGGAAGGGAAGTTTCGTGTTCTTGCGGAGTCAAAACACAAGTTCACAGTTGCTACTATATATGTGACATCAGACGATGGCGGCTGTTTACTCAGCTCGGAAACAGCGCAAGAACTTGGACTTGTAAGCATAAACTTGAACAAAATTAACACATCGCCAGAAAACCCAACATTTACAACAAAGGATACAAAGCTCCATCACATTTTGGACAAACATGCACCTGTCTTTGACGGACTTGGGAAATAAAAAAAATAAACAAATTAGACTAGCAATTGATGACTCCGTGCTCCCGGTTGCACAACCACAGCGACGAACACCGTTCCACCTACGCCTGAAAGTGGAAAGTGAAATACACAGATTAGAGAACGATGACATCATAGAGAAAATACCTGAAGGCATGCCCACTGACTGGGTCTCTCCGGTGGTGATTGTTCCCAAGCGTGATGGTAACATTCGATTGTGTGTTGATATGCGGATAGCAAATACGGCTATCAAACGAACCAGACATCCAATACCAACTGTGGAAGCTGTATCCATGGAACTCAATGGAGTATATTTTCAAAGCTTGATCTTGCTCAAGCATACCACCAACTAGAGCTATGTCCAGCATCCCGCAGCATCACAACATTCTCAACTCATTGCGGTCTCTATCGTTATAAGCGATTAAACTATGGAACTAATGCCGCAGCTGAATTATTTCAACATAATCTGCAGGAAACATTGCTAGGAATTAAAGGGGTCAAGAACATTGCTGACGACATAATCGTATTTGGAAGTAATAGAGCAGACCATGACCGTGCACTGGATGAAGTTCTTACCCGATTACAAGATCACAATCTCACACTTAATTACCAAAAGTGCAAGTTCCTGAAGAAGAACCTTGAGTTTTTTGGGTTATTATTCTCAGAGCATGGGGTCTGCCCGGACCCAAAAAAGGTAGAAGCCTTCGTTAAAACTACAATACCCACAACGGTCAGCGAAGTGAGAAGCTTACTGGGGATGGCAAATTACAGCTCTAAGTTTATCCAAAATTATGCTACCATTACAGAACCCCTTCGAAAACTAACACGTAAGTGTGCGCGCTTTGCATGGACGTGGGAACACCAAGCAGCTTATGACAAGTTAAAAAATGCACTAACCAACAGTCCAGTTATGAGTCATTTCGATACATCAAAAGAAACGTCGGTATTAGTGGATGCAAGCCCAGTTGGCTTATCAGCCATATTAACACAAAGAGATCCTAAAACAAACGCCGATAACGTGATCTGCTATGCTAGTCGGGCTCTTTCGTCAGTAGAACAACGATATTCGCAAACTGAAAAGGAGGCCCTTGCTATTGTGTGGGGTATCGAACACTTTCACATCTACCTATTTGGGGCATCGTTTACTCTGATCACTGATCACAAACCATTACAACTTATCTATAATAATCCTCGGTCCAGACCTCCCGCCAGGATTGAGCGATGGTTATTGAGACTTCAACAATACGATTTTCAAGTCATTTACAGACCAGGTGACACGAACCCTGCAGACTTCTTATCCAGACACCCACAATTACAGACTCCCAAACGCAACATCGCCATAGAATACATCACGTTTGTCACGACAAATGCAGCTCAAAATGCCATATCAATTGAAGTCATCAAAGAACATACGACCAAAGACATAAGTCTTCAGGCGGTAAGAACAGCGGTCGAGTCGGGTGATTGGAGCAATCAGTCAGTGAAACCATTTCTTAGCATCAAAGATGAAATATCTGTGGACAACACGAATGGCATACTCCTACGTGGAACGCGGATTATCATTCCAACAACCCTAAAAACAAGCGTTGTGAAGCTGGCCCACGAAGGCCACCAAGGAATAGCCAAAACTAAAGCTTTGTTACGCCAATACGCCTGGTTCCCTAATATGGACAAGGCCGTCAAGGATGAAATTGAAGCCTGTCTACCATGTCAAATATATGGATCAACCAGCCCACAAGAACCATCAGCAAGTCCAGAAATGCCAGAGGGCCCTTGGCAAACCCTCCATGCTGATTTCTATGGTCCGCTCCCTACTGGACAAAATATCATCGTGCTGATCGATAAGTATTCGCGATACCCAGAAGCCGAAATAATCTCAAGTACCTCCGCCAAAGCACTGATCCCTAAAATAGATGCTATTTTTGCACGGCATGGAATCCCATTAAAGTTCAAATCTGACAACGGTCCACCGTTCAACAGTAAGGAATTCTTCAAATATCTAAATAAACTTGGGGTGAAGCACGAGACATCAATCCCGGAGTGGCCGCAAGGAAACTCAGAGGCCGAAGCATTCATGACGCCTTTAGCTAAAGCGATCAAAACAGCCCGTGCGGAACATCGCAATTGGACACAAGAACTTTCGAGATTCTTACTCAGCTATCGCACTGCGCCTCATTGTTCAACCAATGTCCCACCAGCTCAACTACTATTTAACCGACCATTGAGAGGTATCCTACCAATGCTAAACCCCAAGGACAAAGTGCTAAATAGACATAAAGAGGCGCAGGCGAATGATTTTGAAGCGAAATCGAAAGGAAGAGAATTGGCAAACAAAAAAAGAAGAACTAAAGAATCAGATATCAGGGTGGGAGACCAAGTCCTCTTAAAACAAAGGAAGAAAGATAAATTCACAACAAAATTTGAGCAAACACCATACACAGTGATTTATCGTACAGGAGCTAAAGTAGTCGCTGAGAACCATAACCATCAAATAACCAGAAGCACATCGTTCTTTAAAAAGATAAGAGACAAGTCGAGAGAAGCAACTGATGAAGATGAATACAACATCCACGAACAGCCGTACAGACACAACCAATGCGTACCAGAATGTGAAAAACCAGAACACATCATAGAACCAGAACCAAGAGAGCCAGCTCCAAGGAGATCAACTCGACAAAGAAAAATAACAGAACAATATGGGAACTCAATAAACCCTGACTTTGTTATCCGTTAAGTTGAGGAGGGATGTAGTGTTGTAGACACGCCCTTTAAAAGTGACAATGACATATATAGATATATATAGAAATGAGAAATGTTGTTTACGGACAGATATTCGAGAGCACAATAGATAGACAATAAAGGAGGAAGCTAAATTCTAAACATTACAAATCTAAAGGACATTTTCCTAATTTACGGTAAGAATAGCTCTAGTACATTAAAAGCTAGACGGTATATATCAACAATCATGTCTTCTTGGGCTCTTGTCTAACTCCTGTTTTAGCGAACGTAATTCTCACTGAATTTGAGTGTATGGTTGACTCAGATCTTATTCAAGACAACGCGATTATATTTAACTGAGATACGTTGATAACATACTTTTCCTAATCACCCCTTCTCTCATTTTAAATGTTCTCAACAAATTTTTCATGTTTTATCCCCATCTAAAATTTGATTACTGTCGACATTTTAAAAGATGATGATCTGACTACTACGGCAATACTACAAACACAGGCATGTACTATCGTTTAACGACCTTTCACTATAATAGTCCGGCAGATGGCGGCAAAAAAACTCACCATATCGCGGGGCAATTCCATTTTGCTTTAAAATTGTCCGAGTACGGATATAGAACACAAATCCAGATGTTGGCCTTGGTAATTTTTCTTGTGAAATCAAGCCAACACGTTTTTTTGCGCTAACTCGATGACTTTTGTGTTATGATGAAAATTGAGACGGAGAAGAAATAAGCCCGCGATATTTCGACCATCGCATATGTAATTTGGCGGTACTTCAAATAATTTCATTTGTTGTGCAGCATGCATAACATCAAAATTATTCTGTGGTATCCTTTTGCTGCTGAAGGCAAATCATCTCGAAAGGAGTCGATGATCGAAATAACTTTTTGGTCACTACGAATTTTCGCCGCGTTGTACACTGACTTTATGGATGTTTCGCTAAACTTTGTTATTGGTTCAGCACTTTTTTCGGTACAGTTTAAGATACAATTACTTATTTCAGCCGTCTTTGGCTTTTTCGGAGGTGAAGTATTCACATTGACTTCAAAAAGATGATAATTTTTTTAGCTTTTTTGACATTTCAGACAAAATGCTTGGCAGTTTTATTGTTTTTCTCTCAATTATCGTATTTGAAGTATACCACTCACCGCTACCCAAAAGACTGTTGGCTCAATTCCTCCCGCAAAATTTTCAAAACAAAATGGCGAAAACTTAAGAGTATTCGAAGCTGGTTGACAACATCCTTTTATGGTTTTGACAAGAAAATACACCCTGGCCAACAACTGGAAAAGGACTAAAAAGATGGATGTTCTACAATTATAGCATAAAATCAAATTGCCCCATGATATGTTGAGCTTTGTATCATTTTTGAACCACTATAATAATAATAGCTAATCTTTATTGAGGATGGCAACATCACTAAAAAGTGGTTTACAGAGGGGTCCTCCAAAAGTAACTAAATCTGATAACTATTTAAAAAGAAAAAGAAAAAGAATACAATTCGAAAATATGAAGATAAAACATACATCATTTGAAAATTAACATGCTAAAAACGAAACTAATTAAAATAGTGGTATCTGCCGGACTATAAGGATATGTCTTTCAATTAGCTAAAAAAACATGACACACGTATCACCTCAAGTGCAGTATAAAAAAGACTTACTAAAACAACCAAAACTAAGTTTTTCTGGATGCAACGAAAACAACCAATTAAAATTGAATTATAGGAAGCTATTACCAAAATGTAATTAGTTATTATAAAACTTTATACTTGTTTATCAGTAGCGTAGCTAGCCTGCATGTTTTAGTCCCTCTACGTAAATTTTAGAATATTAACATTATTCATTTCTTCAGAAATCTATTGTTTTTACAGTAAGTGAACACAGAAAAATTAACATAGCAAGACCAAATTTGCGGGCTGGCAACGCCACTGTTGTTTAAACGATTTTGTTTGGTCGAAACAAGCGTTTGATAATGGTCGCAACCACTTTTACTTTAAGCCAGTATTTATTTTAAAGTGAATTTGCTCAATTTCTCACTTAGGTCGGCGACCATGAAATTCTTACAACCTAACAGCATTCATATTGCTGATCTTAGCAATACTCCTTTAGAAAACCTAATTTTAAACCATTTTCACATTTCACAGGCTACTAAAATTACTAATTACAACGCGCTTGCCTTCCCATACAGTCTAATACAAATCTAAAAAGTCTTGACAAGTAAAAAAATTAATGTTGATAGTTAACGTATTTTAAACATGCGAAATGCTCCTGTAATTAACTAAGAACGTTGACGACAAGCGCAAACTAAATTAAGATACTGGAAGACCGGGATCACGATAAACAGACATTAAAACAAAGCTGATGAAGTCTAGAGATTCTCGTAAGGGATATGTATATACAAAATCAGTAATATTTCTTTATTTTCAAAAAATCTTGTTAGATCATACTATCCCGTAATTTTCAAATTAGCTTGGACTCTTTGAAAACATCATTTCTGTATAATGATTAAAAAGGGTTTATCGTCAATCGTCTCAAAACTTCTAAAATATGTTGAGTATGTTAGGTGTCTATTGCATCGTGTTTTATGTGTAAACTTTAAGTTAATCAGTATTGTTATTAACTCTTGTAATTTAGATGAAGTTCTTCGCTAACACTCATGACACTCATCCTTGAGAACATATTAGAATTATTCATAGGGTGTATACTTAAAAACAAAGTATGTAAATAAATACCTAATGGTTACCTGTCTTCGTCGAGACAAAACTTTATCCAAATCAAGACATATTTTTTCAACGCAATTATTCAATATATGTCGATCAAAGTTCGTTTCCTCATTGAAGATCTCCAAAATCTTTTTACACCTTGCGGAAAAATCTGGATATTTTTCGCGGTTAAAAATAATTTCATCAATTTGGACTGAAGGTATTCGTAGAAGTAAACCCAGTCGTCTCCATCTAGTTGCAACTTTCTGACTAATTTTTTCGATTTCCTCTGGTGTAAGTTTGGTGTATCTATGATCATCTAAAATGGAGTAACAAAAACATGTAACACCAATTTTTTTACACCACATGAGAACAAAAATTTTGCGTCAGAATGGGAAAAGAAGAGATGCAATCACCCACCGTTGTATGGAAACGTTTGCCCTATGGTCAATTTACAATAACCCAAACCGTATGAATAGACAGTGTTTGTAAGAAAATTGCTAAAAATGAGCACTTTCCTAACTAAACCTAAAACTTCGTCATTCATGATGATAAACAAGTAGAGGTTCCCCTTGTCTTCCTCGAGTTTATTCACACACCTCCTATTCTTTGGTTTTTCTCTACGCTTCTTACTATGTACATAACTGATAATTGCCTTCACCCTATCTACGTAGGCCCTGTTTACAAGAGGTCGGAACGAAGTCAAACCGGAATGAAAATAAAATTTTGTTGCATGTTTACATGGGACAGGCACGAAATCACGAAAAATCCTCCTTCGTGTAATGCCTTCGGTGTCAACAGCAACGATAACTTACATCAAAGATACGTCTGACACTATCTGGCGTATCTTACAAACATACAACATACGTGTCGCACATAAACTAATAACAACTTTTCGACAAGTACTAACGAACATAAAGGACAAAGAACAACCCAACGAACGACAAGGTGCAGTTTACAAAATAAACTGCTCCGACTGCCACGCCTCCTATATCGGGAAAACTGGCAGGAACTTAAACATAAGACTTACTGAACACAAACGAGCTAATAAGAAACAAGACAAATTTAATCACATTGCCGAACGTCACCGAATCACAAAGCACAACATTGACTGGGACTCGGCAAAATGCATTACTTACAGTAGTGACTATAGACAACGGCTTACATTAGAAAATTTGTATACCAACTTGGAACGAACTTCCCTGAACAGATCACAGAAATTACCGGCACCTTACAAACGACTTAGTCACAATACAAACAAACGATCAACTAAAAAAATTACACTTCATACTAATTCACAATGACAATACACAATTGACACCCACACATTTCCTGTACACACAATACAATGACGTAAGAACCAGATAACAAATACGGCTAACCTGACTTATTTGACTCTGAAGATGACTATCGCTAAGGTTGTCGAAACGTCACTCAGCAACAACAAAAACAGTCCTTCTCAGGACTATACCAACCTGGACGAACCTACATTTACAAACATGATAATATTTTTCTTGGTCAATTAGTTAAAGTGCATGATAAAAGATTGAATGAAGTTATTGAAAAACAAAGAGAGAAGGGACTTACTCTCAACTCTGATAAATGTAGATTTCTACATCTAAAACTAACTTTATATAACATTTGTAACCTGAAAGATGTATTGGCGCAGAGAAGAAAAATACAAAGCTATGGCGCAAGATAAAGAACTGAAAACAACAACTTAATTTCAATGTTTGCTTTGTCTAGAAAATTTTCGTAGTCGTTATATCCCCGATTTAGAAGATTAACAAACCTTTTGCAACAAATAACTCGGACAAAAGTATCATCTTTTGTTTGGGTGCAAAAAATAGAGTAAAGCATTTCAAAAAAACAAACAAAAATACGTGTTTCTGGATGCAACGAGGAAAACAGTTAAAATTGGGTTACGAAGGATTTTACCAAAAACTAATTGGTTATTGCAACTGCTCATATTTGTCATACCAAAAAACACTCGTCATTTTGCTTATGATGAACAGTTTACCCGAGGTTTGCATTCAATTACTTATGATTTGTGAGTAACAAGGCATGAGTTTTACTTGCCGTCAATATTAGGGTTGCGACGCTCTTCCCTGGCTTCACTTGTTCCTTCATAAAAACTAGAAGACGCTTCCTCTGGTGTAAGTTTGGTGTATCTATGATCATCTAAAATGGAGTAACAAAAACATGTAACACCAATTTTGTTACACCACATGAGAACAAAAGTTTGGTGTCCGAATGCGAAAAAAAATGTGCAATTACCCACCGTTGCATGGAAACGTTTGTCCTATGGTTAATTTACACTAACACGACCCGTATGAATAGATAGTGGTTGTAAAAAATTGATAAAAATGAGTACTTCCCTAACCAAAGCTAAGACTTCGTCATTCATTTCGAAATTTATAATTAAATCTCAACACTAATTCTTTCTAGAGAGAATGACTACGCTTTAGACATTTCATTTTCACTTTTTATTAAAAAATTTTAAAATATATATTTATGGTAGTAAGGAATATTTTTTCTCGTAATATTTTTTTCTAATAAAGTAAACGGTTTGAGCCCGGGAGTATCGTTACATGTTTGTAAATGTAGATCGTCCAGGTTGGTACAGTCCTGATAAGGACTGTTTTTGTTGTTGTTGCTGTTCTTTTGACTCTGAAGATGACTACCGCTAAGGTTGTCGCCACAAAGCCACCACAATCAGAACATTAACAAGACGTGCACAAATGATATATGAGTAACCGGACGCTCTACACAACGAAAACAACTATCTCAAACGTGTTTTTGACAAAAACAACTATAACTCTGACTTTATTAAATGCATTACTTACAAGCGCAACGAACCCAACGAAACGAACAACTCAGTGACAACAGCAACGATACCTTACATCAAAGGTACGTCTGAGACTATCTCGCGTATCTTACGACCATACAACATACGTGTCAAACATAAACTAATAACAACTTTTCGACAAGTACTAACGAACATAAAGAAAAAAGAGCAACCCAACGAACGACAAGGTGCAGTTTACAAAATAAACTGCTCCGACTGCCACGCCTCCTATATCGGGAAAACTGGCAGGAACTTAAACATAAGACTTACTGAAAACAAACGAGCTAATAAGAAACAAGACAAAACTAATCACATTGCCGAACGTCACCGAATCACAAAGCACAACATTGACTGGGACTCGGCAAAATGCATTACTTACAGTAGTGACTATAGACAACGGCTTACATTAGAAAGTTTGTATACCAGCTTGGAACAAACTTCCCTGAACATATCACAGCAATTACCGGCACCTTACAAACGACTTATTCACAATGCAAACAAACGATCAACAAAAAAAATTGCACTTCACACTAATTCACAATGACAATAAACAACTAAAAACATCACACCTAAATCCCACATCACAACTAAAAACATTTCACTTCACACTAATTCACAATGGCAATACACATTTGACACCCACACATTTCCTGTGCACACAATACAATGACGTAAGAACCAGATAACAAATACGGCTAACCTGACGTTTACTCCTCATTTGACTCTGAAGATGACTACTGCTAAGGTTGTCGAAACGTCAGTTAACAACAACAAAAACAGTCCTTCTTAGAACTATACCAACCTAAACGATCTACATTTACAAACATGATAATATTGTTCTTGGTCAATTAGTTAAAGTGCATGATAAAAGATTGAATTAAGTTATTGAAAAACAAAGAGAGAAGGGACTTACTCTCAACTCAGATAAATGTAGATTTCTACATCTAAAACTAACTTTATATAACATTTGTAACCTGAAAGATAATTGGCGCAGAGAAGAGAAGGCCAAAGCTATGGCGCAAGATAAAGAACTAAAAACAAAAACTTAATTTTGAATTTTGCTTGGTCTAGAAAATTTTCGTAGTCTTTATATCCCCGATTTAGGAGATTCACAAATCTTTTGCAACAAATAACTCGGACAAAAGTATCAATGATGATCGAACCGTAAAAGCATCTTGGCTGTGGAAAATTACCCAACAATTAGAAAGAAAGAAGATGATCAATTTAAAAACTGAAGATCCCATCTGTCAATTTCGGAGTTTCACCGATATCTCGGACCATAAACGTTTCATCCTTGTGATGTAAATCATGTTTTGCGTAAATAAATGGTAATTTCAGTCTTGATTTTTCTCATTGTGCATGAAAAACGTTTAAATCTCAACATTTTCAGAACAAAAACTTAAACAAAAAGTGACTTCTACTAATGGATGTACTCTATATTAAATCCTACAAACCAGAACTTAACAATGGCTGAAAGCCAGTAATACAATCAGCTTAATCTTCCCAAAAAATCTACACTTCCGCTTTCACATTTCCTTCGAAATGATGGAAATAAGCAGATATACAGAGAGCCACAGTTAGCTTGTAAATAATTATCATTTGATGATTAATTTGTAATGAATTCAAAACATTACAGAGTGAAATAACTGTCTTGTTTGTTATCTTAAATATTGATGTCAAAATGGACCTTTTCTCTGAAGTATCTTTCTTATTTCATACATGACACTGAATATTATACATAAAGTCAAAAGTAAGGGAAACCAAAACTATAAATCATACAAAAGTAACTTAAATTTTCCCAATGCAAAAAATATTTTTCACTCTCGACTCTTGCTTTCTAGAAACTCTTTACTATCTATTTTTATGATGCAAATGTGACTACTGATAAAATACCATGTACCTGATGAAAAAAAAATGTAAACAATATGTCTACATCATGCATCAGCTTTGAAATAAGTCATTTTTTGACTGGTACAATCACCATAGCCTATATATCAAGGACCGTTGTACTATTTATAATTTGGAGAAGGCTCATATTGGGGAGATAATTTCATGAGAATGTTGTAATACGTCAATAAACAATATATTTCAAAGTACTTAAAAAAGTATATCATGCATAAGATGTGACCCCTAAATCAAAATTTTGTATTACGATATACTTACCTTGAAGACATCGTTTCTCTTCTCCAGGAAAAATAGCTATGGAAAAAGTACAAAGTTCGTGTTTGCATGACAAGTCGACTTAAATAACAATATTCTTAACAAATTTCATAATGTGAATATTATACGTACGCTTATGTCAACGTTTATAATGTTACTAACATCTTAAAGACACGTTCAAAATTAATCCAATAAATCATTAAAACGACTTTGTGTTTACGTTGTATGCATACGTAATAATAAAATTATTTTGGTTCCTGCATAGTATCCTGAATTATATTTTCAACTGCAACGATAACTGACAGCCTTAATTGAGGACAGTATACGGTAGCTATGCAGGTCGCTTCAGTTCTTTTTTGTTCAAAAATGGCAAGAGATGTATCAAACAAAACATAAAATACTGCTGCTTTTTGTTGTCTATTTAATTCCTCAAATTAATCCTTTATGTAGCGAGCTTTTTGAAAAATTGCTGGCTATTTTGTTTGGTGAATGTTACAGATCTGCTTCACTGCAACAAAACGGGTTAAATCAAGGGAGTACGAAAATATTTTCAAACTGAAAAAGTCAAGACGTGCGAATAGGGTAAGTGCAGGTCTACTCAGGCCTTTTCAGTGCCTTAATCTAATAATAGAGCGTTTATATGAGTTATATTTCCAGCTGAAATGACTCTTCAGTTTTTCTATGGCAAGAAATTTTTTGTTAAGAAAAATAGAATATTCCGTTTGAAATTTATAATTAAATCTCAAAACTCATTCTTTCTAGAGCGAATGACTACGCTTTAGACATTTTATTTTCACTTTTTATTAAAACATTTTACAAAATATATTTATGGTAGTAATGAATATTTTTTCTCATAATATTTTTTCTAATAAAATAAATGGTTTGATCCCGGGAGTATCGTTGCATGTTTGTAAATTTAGATCTTCCAGGTTGGTATAGCCCTGAGAAGGACTGATTATGTTGTTGTTGTTGTTCTCTTGACTCTGAAGATGACTACCGGTAAGGTTGTCGAAACATCAGTAAGCAACAACGAAAACAGTTTTCAGACTATACCAACCTTGACGATTTACATTTACAAACATGTAATATCATTTCTATTCGAATTTAAGCAAATAAAGACTGATGAGCAAAGACATAATGTCAATCTCGCGTAAAAATATTATGTAATCAAATTGCTATTGTAACAACGATCACATAATTGAAGTGTAATGAAAAATGTGAAAATTCAAGTTAGTATGCTTACCCTTAAATTCTGGATTGTCTTTCAATTCATCATTTGACCTGAGAGCTGCATGTACCCGAGCAGGGAGACTGGGGAATGTTTTAAGAAAATACGCCTTGTGATCTCCAATCTTATAAATAATTTCTGGTTGTGATAGAGGTCGTTGTCGATCGTCCCAATGCTGGCCAATATTTCGAATGAGACTTAAGCATTCTGTCCATGAAGATCCATACTTTGTTCCATTTACCAAATATTCATAAACATCGTTATCCATTTGACTTTTCCAGTTTGAAGATTCAATATTCAATTGTTGGACGATACTAGATTGGGGATCATTTGTTTTAATCGACTGTAAGTCACCAACTTTACATAAAAAGTGAAATTTCTCGTCATCCGACATAAGAAATGGATGCTTCAAGGCTTCGTTGGCAGATGGTCTTTCTTCTGGTTGTAGTTTTAACATCCACGACAGAAGGTCTTTTAATGTTTCATCTTTGATTTCGTCCAAGCCAACAGGTTTCCCATTCAATATGTTGATCAGTCTGTGGGGTTTACTTCCAAAAGGATGTTTCCCTTTTGTTGCAACATAATAAGCCACCATTCCTGCATTCTAAAATAGTTAGCCTAAGGTCAAACCTTTATTTAAAGAGGATAAACACATAATAGAAAATAAGTAACTAAATTAATTTGTAGTCCTCTTAGATGGTGCTAGACTTATATAACGCAAGTGATATAATAAATCAAATTTTTAAATTCATGCCATAAAATTATTTATAAAGTTTAGAAATTAAACCTACAATATATAAACATAATCGGAGTTCAATTAAACAAAAATAAATTTCTGCATCTTAAATTATAGCTTTCAAGAGACGACAACTTCAGTAAAATTAATAACAGGCCGTTGCACAACTTAGTAAAGACAATTTCAGTTTTCCAAATAAAAATGTAACAGCAACAATCTAATGTCCGAGATTAAATCATCTAGTCTTTTTTCAATTTTGGTACTTTTGCCGAAAGTTACTTTTTGCTCACTTGTGTGATCTGTGGCTACTTATTCCGAAGTTAATTTACCAATCGAAAAAGCCTAAATAAGAGTTCAATATATGCAGTAAATTCCCACTAACCATTACATCCGACTTTGCTTCGTAACGAGCTTTATCAAACGAATCTTCTTCTTTACAATATGATTCAGGAGCAATCCAAAACTGAGTTTCCACAATAGCCTTGGCTTTTATACCAAAATCAGCTATGAGAAATTTGCCTTGTGAGTCTCGGAGAACATTGGAAGGCTTTAAATGGCAATGAAGAATAGGTTGCGGGCCACTATGAAGATAAGCTAATCCTTGCAAAACTGGTCTAAGAATTTCGGGAAGAGCTTTTTGAAGATCAGACAAAGTAGAAGACTTCACAAAACTCTCCAATGATTCCTCGCATAAGTCTAATAATAAATAGACATATTCCGTGTCATTGTCTTCCTCTAAGTTAGAATAGTTCACAAAATATTTCGATTCCTTTGAGTTAAGTTCAATCAAAATTTCCTTTTCTCGGCGAGTTATATGGATGAAGTTATCTCGATGTATTCGTTTCACAGCTTTGCCGTAACCATCCTTTGTCAGTCCAAGAAATACACGTGTTCCATCGTTTCCTCTGCCGATGCAAAACTCGTCAGAGAAAATTACACGTACATCGCCCACATGTTTAACCTTTCTAAAGGCACTGGCCCCATATTCACACAATTTTAAAAACATTTTTCTATGCTTTGCTGATTCACCAATAAATTTCCACTCTTGTAACTGTAGTTCTTAAATTGACATAAAAGTACTGCATTATGGAATGAATTTGTGAAACAAATATAATTAACACCGGGGTTAGAAATCCCACACCGAATCCCGTCCAGCTCATCACCCGTGTTTGCCACACTCACCACAGGGCTAGCCCAGGTTTAATGTTTAATAACATAAAATATATAAAATAATCAACTACAAACGTGAAAACTAAACATCTGATGTCGGATACCAAAACAGGTGCTACAGAGAATATAGAGCATTAAGTGGGGTTGGGGTGTGGTGTATATTAATATTTTCATAACTGCTTGACTGATTTGTTTTGTTAGCGATTGTAATTTCAAAAGAAATCAGCAGGAAAGAGCTGAATATAAGGATACCCCACCCCCTTAACTTTCTAGTTTCGCCCGTGCCCCAGAAGTAGCTCAAATTCACCGAATGCAAAAAATATTTTGAGGTGAATGTCGTTCAATTCCCACAGATAGTTCGAGGAAGCCCGAATTGGAGTTAACTGCTTAGGTTTTATTTTTGATCTCTCTAAAATTACATTATTCACATCACAATTTTTTACAGAAACAACCCACCCTCCATTTGACATCATCTCTCAATCAAACTTAACATAATAAGTTCCCTGATCTTATAGTTTTTACTGGAATGTGCTAGCATTCACGACACACTCCCCCTATTTTAAATGTATATTAATTAAAATATACTTTTCTTTAATGTTTTCAGTCTTTTCTTGTTCACGTAAACGTAATTGATAAATCATAAGGTTTCTTTAGTACTTCATCTCATATTTCATCATGACAAGTCCGACTAGCCATATTAAGGTTAGTATATTAGCTCGTCTTACAACGCTCTTAGATAATAAATGCTTTGCTGAAAGATACACCGGATATTCCACTTGGATTCTTCCCTTACACATGTATATTACGTCTTGATGTTTTTTAAGATTAGGTTTGACAGATTTGTCTTTGAAATTCATCATCGCCTCGTTTTCAGCTTGAACTTGTTTGATCAGTAACTTCATTATTGCCCAAGTATCTTCTGTCAATAACGCACTACTTCTTTCTTATTACTTACTAAGTTGTCAATGAATCTCTTACACCATGCTAGAACTTGTACAGTTTTGGACAGGTCATAATTTTCCAACATATGATCAATGAAATCGAGCTCTTTTGGAATGGTTATCTTCATTACTTTTGATTTTCGTAGGTTGATACTTACTTCCACTCAATTTGTTTTTCATTATTTTTTTCATACGATTTGAAACAAAATGCTTGTAATTGCCTCCACCGTTGATCCATTGTAGACAGACGGTTGAATCAGTTTACGCGTAAACAGCTTCGACAAGGAGATAACTGAGGACTTTCTTTGTTTTGTCAACCAGGTTGGAAACCATATGACAATTTTAAAGTTCCAATCTTGGAATATTTAATTGCGTTTTGCTAATCTTGCCCTTGATCCCAACAGCCCTTGCGAAACCACTTCACATTGTTTTGTCACTACATACACCGCTGCACAACATCCCAAGATACTCGCATCGGAAAACCAATGAATGTAAATTGCTGTAGTCCCTACTCTTTTCCGAGGAATGCTTCTTGGAAAATTTAACTCACTTGGAAAACTCCTCGAGCATTTTTCCTAAAGCTTCCTGATAGCTTTCGGCAACTTGCATCCCATGCGATTTTCTGATCACAGATATCTCGAAAGATTACTTTCGCTATGAGAAGGTACAGAGCTGTAACACCTAACGGGTCGTACAGTTTTGCATTCCTTTGAAGAGCCCTTCGCTTGGTCATTTGAACTTTTTGTTTTGGTAGTGATATAGACAAAGAATCTTCATTCTTGTTCCATACCAGTCCGAGAAGTTCAGTTTCTGAACATTTAGTTCCTAAAGTATCTTTAGCATAGGTAGAATCCCCATCCTCTACTTTATCGCGTTCAAGTTCTACTACACTGGAATGCATTTGTGCTGAAAAAATTGTCCCTTGCTGAGAATCTCTTTTGATTGCTGTTTGATTTCCCGATAGTCTCTTCTACTGAATCACCACCAATATTTATATCATCCACGTAAGTCCGTCAGATAATTCTTCGACACACTTTAGATACTATTGTATAAATTTCTCTATGTGAACATTTAAAGTTGCTCCAAGTAAAAATGGGCTCGGACCACGTCCGAACATCGCTCGAGTCATACGATGTACGACCATCTCTTTTTGTTGACGATCATTTATCCATAAGATTCTCATTACGTCTCGATCAATCTCTCTGATAACTATTTGTAAGAATGTATGTTTGGTATCGCCTAAAAGAATCGGTCTCATTCGAGTACGTCAAGGCAATCATTCAATGAAGGTGACCATTCATCGAGTTTTTCTCAAGCATCATAAACAAACCTTACTTTTATAGACTCGGATTCCTCACGTAAGAGGGGTTTTTGCAGAAGATAATATTCACAAATTATTTGTAGTTTCTTAGGCGCAATTTTAACCACTACTTCTTCAAGTTTATTTACTACGATATTGCGATAACTTTCCATCATTCCAGGCTGTTTCTCCAATCGGTTTTGTCAAGGACTTAACCTCCGCTTGGTAACCTGATAGTTCCTTGGCAATTCTGGGTGATTAGCCCTCCACGGAGGTGAATTTTTATACTAACCATTTTTTCCGCATCGTCAACTGTTCTTTAAACTCTTGATACACACTTCTATGATCCCTTTCTGCACTGTCGTCTAAGCCTAACACATCCAAACTATAACGTTGCTTGTAATATTCATGAGGGTTTTTGTAATTAAGTAGGTAGGGTTTGTCTCTCGTCCATCCCAACATCGTCCTCTCTATCTCTTGGCTTGGCTTCGCGAACGAAGATTTAATGAAGGGACTGTCCACGTCGACTACAGGCACGCTGTCCACGTCGACTACAGGCACGCTCGTGGCTGACAAGTCCGATGCGAGACAAACAGGTTCGGCCGCAGCGGCTACAGTCAAAGGTCACGTCAGGTACGGCTGCTGAAGCTTCCCGGCTCTTCCTACTGCGGTGTTTCTCCCTCAAGTTCTCTGTACGAGAGTCCTAAAAGGAAGAGACAGCCTGGTGGACAGTACGACGCCAGGCATCACGGTCAGCAGCAAGAATAGACCACTGGCGGTGGTCGATATGGCAGGCTCCGAGGGTCTTCTTCAGAGAGTCTTTGTAGCGTTTCTTCGGTGCCCCTCTGTCAAGGTGGCCAGTGGAAAGTTCGCCATACAAGGCAATTTTCGGCAGGCGCTGAACATACATTCTGGAAACGTGCCCTGCCCAACGTAGCTGCGACTTCAGTAGCATGGCCTCGATACTGGTGATCTCCGCCTGTGTGAAGACGTCAACATTGGTGATGTAGTCACTCCAGTGAATGTTGAGGAAGGTGCGGAGACAGCGCTGATGGAAACGCTCAAGGAGGCGTAGGTGGTGACGGTAGATTACCCACGACTCAGAGCCGTACAAGAGGGTGTTGAGTACGACGGCTCTGTACACGCTGATCTTGGTGCCCTTCTTCAAAGAATTGTTGTTCCACACTCTGTTATACAGTCTGCCAAAAGCGCTGCTTGCCTTGGCCAGTCTGTTGTCGACATCGTCCTCTAGGCAACTGGCGTCTCATCATCTCCAACTACGGTGTCTTGATTCTGGATATTGAACTCGCCCCAAGAATGAGGTGACCAGGCAAAAGCTGCGTTTCATCATAATCGTGCATTTCCACTTGCTGCTTGAAACATTATCTTGATAGATTTATATTCCTGCCTTATTGGTTCTTCTTTGATTGTACTTACCGACTTCCTTCATGCAAAGGAACTACCAGATCTAGTGTCTAAAAGAGCATGACATTTATTGTTTTGACTGTTACTACCACATGTGGATAAAGAACATTCTTCAAATTAGGATAACACACCAGTTTTTGATTCTTGTCCTGCTGATCACATATAGAAGTATGGTGCTTCCTTTTACAGATATATAGCAGTGAATGACTCTTGCAATTACTTGCTCTATGGTTTTCCCCTGTGAAATTAAAACTGCGTCGTTTTGTCATTAACATCTTTTCACGCTCACTGATACTCAAGACTTTGTCAGATTCTAAAGATTAGAGGTCTTCGCTGTCACAGTACACACATTGTCGTGTTCGGACTTTAGCTAATAGCAGTTTCCTTTCTTTTCTTTCAATACACTTTCTCTATTTCCATCTATGTCAGTTTGTGATAGTGGATTTTGTTATATCCAGACTCGCAAAGCTTCAAATAGATCTGTAAAGGTCAGCTTTTTACTTTTCCCAATCCGGTGATACTCTTGTTAAATCAGCTCAAATCTCTTCCAACTTGCTAGAGTTATTCTCACGTTTCCTGCAACATCTCCCAAATTCCCAAATATCTCAAAAGCGCTTGAACATGCCCAAGTATAGTAATACAAAAGTTATTTATCTTATGTTTTAAAACACCAGTATTAGTTGGCAGGGCTAATACTGTTAGCAATATGAAGTATTATGAAAGATTGTTATATGCAGTGCGGTGTTTTGAAATTGAATGAAGATTTGATCTTCGCACTTTGCTGGACAATTAAAGCAGTTGTCTCATGAACCTAAATAATTCAGGTGACTCAACGGGATTCGAACCCATGACCTCTGCGGTGCCGGTGCAGTGCTCTAACCAACTGAGCTATGAAGTTACACATTGGAGAGCAGGTCAATTTGTTGGGCTAATGTTTTCCCGTAAAAGGAATGTAATATGAAAGACAAAAGGTGAAGAGAGACGAAAATGGGGAAATACAGAGATATAAAGCTCGCCTAGTTGCACAAAGCTATTCAAAAACTGAAGGTGTCAACTATCATAAAGTATTTTCACCCGTCATACGAAATACAACTGTTTGATTGTTGCTCACTTTAGCGAATGCAAAAGACTGGGAAGTTCACCAAATGGACGTTAAAACAGCGTTTTTACAAGGAAATTTGGATGAAGAAATTTTTATGCGACAACCTGAGGGTTATATTAATAAGGAGCATCCTGACTATGTCTGCAAATTGAAAAAAAGCATCTATGGTTTAAAACAGTCAGCCAGATGTTGGAACAACGCCATCGACTCATATCTGAAGTCAAAAGGATACAATCAAATGAGCTGTGATCCATGTCTGTACGTGAAATCTATTAAACAGCAAGATGGAAATGTGAGTTTCGTGATACTATCTATTCATGTTGATGATATTCTACGAAAATTCTACGAAAATGCTGAAGGTGTTGAAGAACGCTATTGCATCAAAGTTCAAAGTTGAAGATTTAAATGAAGTCAAACATGTCCTTGGTATCCTGATCAAACGAGACAGAAAAAGTGGAAAATTGACAATTAGTCAATTAAAATAATTGGAAGGTATCTTGAAACGATTCAACATAAAATATTGCAAACCTGTTTTGACACCGTTAGAGCATGGAAAACATTTTCAGAATCTGCCCGAAGAAGAGACCGCAATAAATATTCATGAATATCAAAAACTTATAGGATGTTTGACATACGTGACAACGGCAACTCGACCTGACTTGACATCTGCTGTAGGTATTCTTTCAAAATTTATGTCAAAGCAAGGAAAGGAGCATTGGCAGGGAGCAAAAAGAGAGTTGAGATACCTAAAAGGCACAATTAATTATGGTCTTGTTTTTCAAAGCAAAGATTCAACATGCGAAGTGGTTGGATATTCAGATGCTGATTGGGCAAGTGATGTAAATACAAGAAGATCTACATCAGTATACGTGTTCCAGATAAATGAATCAGCCGTCAGCTGGAGCAGCAAGCGACAATCTTGTGTTGCAAGATCTTCGACTGAAGCTGAGTATGTTGCACTAAGTTATGCATCACAAGAAATAATATGGTTACGACGTTTACTAGCGGATATTGGAATAAATGAAGATCAACCGTCTATACTGAACGAAGATAACCAAGGGGCAATTAAACTTTCGAGGAATCCACGATTTCACAATCGCACTAAACATATTGACGTTGCGTATCACTTTGAGAAAAGGTCAACGATAATTCCATTATTGTTCAATACTGTAGTAAAGATCAGATGTTAGCGGTTGTTATGACGAAAAGTTTACCAAAGCAAACATTCCAAAACTTTCGAGACATGTTAGGTGTCAAAGAAATTTTAGTTTAAGAATTCGTAATTCTTAAGGAACATTTATAGTGCACATTAAGTGAGAGTGTTAGCAATATGAAGTATTATTGATTATGTAATGTTACACCATAATATTATTATATGAAGTATTATTATAGTATTATATTAGCACATGTTATGTTATACGGGAAGCCATGAACTATTTTTTTGTATTAATTACATTTCTATTCTATGTATTCCTGATTGCTGATTATAATGAATCACTCAATTATCAACAAATATTTCGTGTATGTGTGCATTAGCAACTTCACTTGGATCAACAAATCTCTCTTTTAACAACGAAGTTACAGTTTAATCAGAAAAGGAAGCATCATAAAGAAGAAATTCAGCGTTTATAAAACTATACGAGAATGAAAAACAAACAAACAAAGAACAAGATACTTTGATGAAGTCATGTTCTAAAAGAACTACAACGCTACGTCTAAGCCAAAATTATGAAGTATATAGTAAGGAAAGCGAGAGGGTGTAGCATGTAAATAGATATAGTTTAATTGTTGCATATATAAATACCATTTTGAATCGTGAGTCTTTGATATTACAGCATGCAGCACAAACACAGATTTTGTTGCTCAGCAATATTACTATAAATTTACTTGAATAAAAACTGTAAATCATGTACTAATTGTAATGAAGCTGACATTAATACAAATAAGTGACGATGGCAGTTATATAATTGACGTGCATCGATATTTCTTGATTTCTTACCTGATACAGATGACTCTGAGCTTTGAGAAGGTGGACTATTACGACCTAACTAAAAATGTATAGAAATAAATTTTTATTATTGATAAAATAATATTCATATTATCATCACACGTACAAGTAATTAAGAACATAAACTTGCTGTGATGTTACATTTATATACATTTGCCTTTTACTGTTAGGAACTGTTCTTCATTTTTGATGAGTTTAGAATCCCGTTCATGCTTCTCTTGATAATTTTCGGTTGCTTTTGCAAACTCAAAAATCTGATACAAGTATTCACACAAAGTGTAATGGGCCATTAACTAACATCGAAATAAATAAAGAAAGAAACTACGGCTTTCGCATATATTTTTATCTGTGGCTTTAACATCTATGCTATTTAAGTGTTTATCAAGTTGTGCATGTCTAAATTTGATTTTAATTTTGATTGTTCTTATTGTTTTTATAATTTTAAAAAGTTAATTAGTCTTTCATTTTTAGTGTCTTTTCCAATCTCGTATAAGTCTAATGAAGTAAATGGTTTGAACCCGGGAGTATGGTTACATGTTTTTAAATGTAGATCGTTCAGGTTGGTAAAGTCCTGAAAAGGACTGTTTTTGTTGTTGTTGACTGACGTTTCGACAACCTTAACGGTACTCACCTTCAAATGAGGAGTAAAAGTCAGGTTAGCCGTATTTGTTATCTGATTCTTACGTCATTGTATTGTCTATACAGGAAATGTGTACAATTGTGCGTACAGGAAATGTGTAAAATAAAATACAAGCTACAATCCACTGAAAATTTCATTAAAAAACTGAGCACTATACAAATACCGGACAACTATATACTAGTGTCTAATGATGTGAAATCACTGTTCACCAGTATTCCACTTAATCTGGCACTTACATGTACAAAAAACCCTCATTACAAACACTACGGACGTACTGCCATTACCGACAGAAGACATGGAGCTACTGGAGCTCTGCCTCACCTCGACTTACTTCCAGTACAAAGGTGCACATTACAAACAATTATATGGAACAGCAATGGGCTCACCCGTTTCTGTTTTAGTTGCTGAAATTGTAATGCAATCTATAGAGGAACGGGCGCTCACGACTTAAAAACATGCACTACCTTTTTGCTTTCGCTACGTAGATGACACAATCACAGCACTACATGTAGACGAGATTGATGATTTTCACACTCAAATCAACAATCAGAACAGCCACATACAATTTACCAAAGATGTCGAAGAAAACGGATCTTTTACTTTTCTCGACTGTTTGGTAAAACAGGACAATCAAAAATTACGAATAACAGTTTATCGCAAAACCAACACACACTGACCGACTACTAGACCAATCATCTTACAACCCTACATCACACAAAGCCACCACAATCAGAACATTAACAAGACATGCAGAAATCATATGTGATTCACCGGACGCTCAACACAACGAAAACAACTATCTCAAACGTGTTTTTGACAGAAACAACTAAAACTCTGACTTCAACAAACGCAATACTTACAAACCCAACGAACCCAACGAAACGAATAACTCAGTCACAACAGCATCGATACCTTACATATGAAACTATTTTGCGTATCTTACGACCATACAACATACGTGTCGCACATAAACCAATCACTGGGTTACGACAAGTACTAAGGAACATAAAGGCCAAATAACAACCCAACAAAGGACAATGTGCAGTTTACAAAAGAAATTGCTCCGACTGCCACGCCTCCTATATCGGAGAAACTGGCAGGAACTTAAACATAAGACTTGCTGAACACAAACGAGCTAATAAGAAACAAGACAAAACTAATCACATTGCCGAACGTCACCGAATCACAAAGCACAACATTGACTGGGACTCGGCAAAATGCATTACTTACAGTAGTGACTATAGACAACGGCTTACATTAGAAAGTTTGTATACCAGCTTGGAACAAACTTGCCTGAACAGATCACAGCAATTACCGGCACCTTAAAAACGACTTATTCACAATACAAACAAACGATCAACAAAAAAAATTACACTTCACACTAATTCACAATGACAATAAACAACTAAAAACATCACACCTAAATCCCACATCACAACTAAAAACATTTCACTTCACACTAATTCACAATGGCAATACACAATTGACACCAACACATTACCAATAAAATCATCACAACTAAAAACATCACATTTCATACTAATTCACAATGACAATACACAATTGACACGCACACATTTCCTGTACACACAATACAATGACGTAAGAACCAGATAACAAATACGGCTAACCTGACGTTTATTCCTCATTTGACTCTGAAATGACTACCGCTAAAGGTTGTCGAAACATCAGTCAACAACAACAAAAACAGTCCTTCTCAGGACAATACTAAACTGGACGATCTACATTTACAAACTCGTATAAGTATGTTACAAAACTTGCTTGCTAAAAAATAACGTTAGGAGTATGGTCCTCAGCCCTCAGTACTAAAGTTTAGTGGCTTTTTGCAAACTTAAATGTCAGATACAGTTAAGTATTCTGACAGATTCTCACAGAAAATATCCAAAGTCAGTCAGCTTGAGTGTTAAAACAATACACACCGTATGCAATGGCATCAAATCTAAATCATCTTCACCAGTTGACGGGATATCGTAATTGGTGATTCTAAGATCATCTAAAATGGAGTAAAAAAACCCATGTGACACCAACTTTATTACGCAACATCAGAACAAAAGTTTGGCGTCGGAAGGAGATTATGGGAGGTGCAATAACCCACTGTCGGGAAACTTTTGCCCTACAGTTAATTTACAATAGCCAATGGAAACCGTGTGAACTGTTATTGTTTATAAGAAAAATGCTATAGAATTGAGAACTTTCCCATTAATTACTAAGTCACCTATGATGATGAACAAAGAGGTTCCTCTTTCGGTGCATCTATATACTTAATATTCTTTGGTATTACTCTAGGCTTTTTACATACTGACACTATCCTCTTCCCTATTCCATACTGTATTATTCTAAGTCCATCTAGCTTTAATTCTTGTAACTTCACAGTTACTCTTGTATCTGTTTCATTCTCATACATACATTCATTCTGTCTTCTTTCGGCAAAAATTCATTCTTCAGTAATTCTAGAGAGTTAAATGTCTCCTACACTCTTGCTGTAAATTACAATGTTATCTGCAAGTATTTACCAACTTAATGTCAATGCAGGACAACTCAACCATTAAACTAACAGGAATGTTTTGCTTTGATATGTTAACTTTTGTCAATTGATGTTTATAACGTAGAAATGATTTGAAAACGATAAAAATCCCCCACTTCGCCAATGCGAAGCACGTGTAAAATTTTTGCATGTGAAGTCGTCGCTACAAACTGTAAACTAATATTACATACATCGTCACAACTCTATCATACATTTTTAAATGACGTTGACTGTTTTGACTAGAAAATTTTCGAATAATGATGTGCTTTTTTGGCGATTTTATGATACAAATATCTTTTTAAATAGGTAAAAATAACAGTAGTTCCGTAAGTGATAAAAGTAGCTTGTAGTAAATGATCTTAATCAAAGATTAGTGAATTTAGTGTAAATCAAATTTTACTGCTCTATCTTTGGCGCAGTGAAACATTGTTAAACCCAAATCATCCCTTACCAAAAATTATAAACATAGAAAAAGCTAAGCGACCCATATTGTAAACAGATCATCAAACTTGAAAGTCAGTTGCCTTTTAAGCATAAAAAAGCTGTAATTGTTCTGTAAAAATGCAGTAGTTCCACTGTAATAATGTATGACTGCACTATAAGTGCTACAGTCTTATTGGCTGAAAAGTTGTGAAAGCCAAACAAGCCTCTTTTCATGCAAAAAAATAAAGTAACATAAATAGGATTTTAGATTTGTCTATTGTAATTAATATATCTTTTATATTGGCTGGGAGATTCGCAAGGAAAAACATTTTTACTAGGTCTCAAAAGCAACCCGAGGCCGAAATAGCTGACTTAGCTTCATGTTGAGACTAAATACATTTTGCTTTCTTCTTGAAGAAGTCACAAGGCTTTAAATCATTTTTAAAAATTTAAATTTCCTTTCGTAAGCAAATCATTGTGAAAAAATATCACTTTTAGATCACGGTAATAATATTTAAGATAAGAAACTGTCTGCTTCTGCCGCCAATCAGATTTGAAGAATTCAAAAATATCACTTCGCATGCATTAACAAAAAGATACTAGATGCTAAATTATAAATTTAAAGATTACGATCAATATCACATGGATTTTGCTGGTTCTGTAAATGTTTTATAGCTGGCAATATAAGTAACATAAAAATTGCGTCAATTCTTATGCATGTATCGTATCGCAAATCTTAGACACAATAATTGGCGACTGAATTAGACATTGAGAGCATAACATTCCCATTTTGTTGAGATTTTGTTTTTTAAATGGAACTACATCGATAAGTATGGATATTAGCGGCCTACAATTTTCCGATTGTCAATCGATATTACGTGTGTATCTCTGAGGTTGAAAAGACAGCGAACAAGTTTTTAATTTTTTCTCGAAACCTGAAGATAAAGGAAAATTAAAGATAAAAAGCCAAGGAAATCTCTACAACTGTATTGTGCATAGATAGACGTTCAGGAGATCTTTGAAATGCTACTTCCCATATCTGATGACATGACTGATAGATAAATGGATGAGTACGAAGTTGCGTTAAATTGCTTGACGAATATTTTATCTTCGATGGTTAATATCCCTTTTAAAAGACATGTTTTTGCCCAATGAAACAAGAAAACGGGAAACTATCGACCAATTTGTAATAAAACTGAGAAAACTACCTAAAAACTGTAGCTTTGGTTATCAATTATCCAAACAGATTGAAGACCAAGTAAAAGATACATGTCCGTCGTCAGTATTAAAAAGGAAGGACCATAAAAAGTCACGATTCGAAACTAAAAGATGTACAAAAGATCGCTCAAGCCATGGAAACCGTCGGCTTGAAAGCTAAAACCATTGAAAGGCATAAAAACGAAAAAGTTAATCATATTCGAAAAATCCAAAATCAGAAATTTGATAGTCTGATTAGTTGTCCTACAAAATTGAAATGTTTCCAATGTGCTTGCATGGTGGTAAAAGTACGCAAGAAATGTGTGAACGTTGGTCCTTCCGCAGCTGTATGTAGGTCAAAGATAAATTTCTAACCAGAAGCCAAAATTAAAAGTCAAATGAAAGTTAAAAAGCCAAGAAATGTAAATAAAGGAGTTATAATAACTTAGACCATGAAAAGGAATACGTTTTTATTGTACATAAAAAAATTGAAAATGGAATTAAGTATAAAAATCTCAACATTGAGGTGTTGACGTTCAGGTTAAAAACATTACGATTGACTGTGAATCTATTTGTAATAGCATAGATAGAAAACCTGGGAGGCTCTTAAGAAGAGTGGGGTCAAATACACACGAAAAAATTAAGGGGAAACATATATGCATACTGGGCAATCTCACGGCTTAAACCCAATTTTAAGCTCTATATGGAAATTTCAGACAAAAGTCGATTATGGCAATGCAGAGATTGAGCTGGAATTTATAGTTTAACACGGAACATTAAAAGATTTTCAGCTGAAGATCCACATGGACCTTGACATGAAATCTGTAGCTTGGAATATAAAAAGAACTATGATTATTTCGAGGAAAAAATTAATAAAAAAAAATTGGCCGAGATGTTCGAAGGAGATAATATTTAAAGAGCAGAAGAGCAAACTCCATTGGTAAGTTATGTTTAAAATTGGGGTTTCCCTTAAATAAATAATATTTGTTGAAGAATGGAGGGGATAACATCATATTTCATTATAAACGACTTATGTTTGGAATAACATAAACGCCAGATGTGTATCAACATATTAACAAACAGTTCTACAGTGATGTGAGGGAGTGTCAAAATATTATGGATGATAATATTGTACTTGGTCAATTAGTTAAAGTGCGTGATAAAAGATTGAATAAAGTTATTGAAAAACAAAGAGAGAAGGGACTTACTCTCAACTCAGATAAATGTAGATTTCTACATCTAAAACTAACTTTATATAACATTTGTAACCTGAAAGATGTATTGGCGCAGAGAAAAAAAATCCAAAGCTATGGTGAAAGATAAAGAACTGAAAACAACAACTTAATTTCAATGTTTGCTTTGTCTAGAAAATTTTCGTAGTCGTTATATCCCCGATTTAGAAGATTCACAAACCTTTTGCATCAAATAACTCGGACAAAAGTATCATCTTTTGTTTGGGTGTAAAAAATAGAGTAAAGCGCTTCAAAAAACAACTAAAAATACGTCTTTCTGGATGCAACAAGGAAAACAGTTAAAAATGGGTTACGAAGGCTTTTACAAAAAACTAATTGGTTATTGCAACTGCTTATAATTGTCATACCACTTAAACACTCGTCATTTTGCTTATGTTGAACAGTTTGCCCGAGGTTTACATTCAACTACTTATAATTTTTGAGAAACAAGGCATGAGTTTTACTTGCCGTCAATATTAGGGCTGCGACGCTCTTCCCTGGTTTTACTTGTTCTTTCATAAAAACTAGAAGACGCTTCCTCTGGTGTAAGTTTGGTGTATCTATGATCATCTATAATGGAGTAAAAAACATGTAACACCAATTTTGTTATTTGTTTTCCATTGTGCATGAAAAACGTTTAAATCTCTACATTTTCAGCACACTTGATCTCATATTTGGAAACTACAAAATACTTTATTTACTAGAACAAAAACTTTAAGAAAAACTGCTTTCTACTAATGGATGTACTCTTTATTAAATCCTACAAACCAAAACTTAACAATGGCCTGAAAGCCAGTAATACAATCAACTTGATTTTCCCAAAAAAATCCACACTTCCACACTCACACTTAATTCGAAATGATGGAAATAAACAGATATACAGAGAGCCACAGTTAGCTGGTAAATAATTATCGTTTGATGATGAATTTGCAATGAATTCAAAACATTACAGAATGAAATAACTTTCTTGTTTGTTTTCTCAAATATTGAGGTCAAAACGGACCTTTTCTCCGGAGTATGTTTCTTATTTCATACATGACACTAAATATCATACTTATAGTCAAAAGTGAGGAAAGCCAAAACAATAAATCATACAAAAGTAACTCAAATTTTCCCAATGCGAAAAATATTTTTCCACTCTTGACTCTTGCCTTCAAGAGACTCTTTACTATCTATTTTTATGATGCAAATGTGACTACTGATAAAATACCATGCACCTGATGAAAAATAGCAAAATGTAAACAATATGTTTACATCATGCATCAGCATTGAAATAAGTCATTTTTTCGACTGGTACAATCACTATTGCCTATATATCCAGGGCCGTCGAACTATTTATAATTTGGAGGGGGCTCATATTGGGGAGATAATTGCATGAGAATGTTGTAACACGTCGATGAACAATAGATTTCAAAGAACTTAAAAACGTATATCATGCATAAGATGTGATCTTTAAATTGAAATTTTGTATTACCATATACTTACCTTGAAAACATCGTTTCTTCTTCTCTTCTCCAGAAAAAATAGCTATGGAAAAAGTACAAAGTTCGTGTTTGCATGACAAGTCGACTCAAATAACAATATTCTTAACAAATTTCATGAAGTGAATATTATACGTACGTTTATGTCAACGTTTACAACGTTACTAACATCTTAAAGACACGTTCAAAATTAATCCAATAAATCATCAAAACGAGCTTGTGTTTTCGTTATATGCATAAGTAATAATAATATTATTCTGGTTCCTGCATAGTATCCTGAATTATAATATCAACTGCAACGATAACTGACCGCCATCTCTGAGGACAGTACATGGTAGCCATTGATATGTATATTAGACTGGATAACGCATCTCTTGCAAGAATTGAAGAAGGAAGTTCGATCATTTGCTACTGGCTTCATGGGGGGTGGGGGTGGTATCGGTCCTACTTTACTATACTTTTGTATTAAAAAAACACAGACTTTGCATTTTTATTCCTTTTGCAAACTTCTCATTAAGGCAAAATTTTTAAGACATGCAGAGGGAAACCGGTAGAGAGTTTTGACCCTGAAGCTCTGTTTTTTGCCTTTGTAACGACTGAAAAATAAGATGGCAAGTTGTATTGAAATTTGAAAGTTGAAGGTGACGAGTATAATTTCAGCCGTACGAGGTATTTTTAGAAGATGAATACTTAAACTACAAATTTACAACAAAGTAAGAACAAAGACATTCATATCTTCAACATATTCATCGATCTTAAAGTTGTTCACATAGGAACTGGTTAAAAACTTTGCTTTGCTTAATAACAACAGAGGAGATTTAATTCGCATATTTTGATGATGTACATCTAGTAGAGTTTGATGATATCGTTTTCAACTTACTATTGTTTATCAAAATATCGTTCTGATTATTTTTCTATGTCAATTTATTTTGTTTCTTCACTGAAATAATAAAGACGTAATTTGAAATTATTATGATATTAGCGATGTAAATAACAAAGTGCTGTTAAATAAGTAAATTTGTAGCAATCTTCCATATACGTTATTGCAGATGAAATTTTGGTAGCAGTAGAAGGATTCTGTAACATTTCTACATTTTTTAAGAAGCAGCAGCATCATATAATCTCCAGTTTGTTTCAAAACAATGCAGGTCGACCTTGTACCATCTCAATTTTCTGCCATTATAAAGCGAAGAAGACAAACTTTTGAGGATTTAATATCTTTGCCGGTTGTTCTGTCCCTTTCACAAAATTTTGCACAAATCAAAAGTTTGTAGAACGAATAAAACGCAAAACCTGTGGTTTTGTAATACAAAAGTATAGTAAAGTGAGACCGATACCCCGAAGGTCATAATGAGATGAGCCAACTTCCTGCTTCAATTATCTTACTATATTTTATATATGAATGCGTTATCTAGTATAATATACACATCAGAGATGGTAACTATGCAGGTCGCTTCAGTTCTTTTTTGTTCAAAAAGGGCGAAAGATGTATCAACAAAAAACATAAAATACTGCTACGTTTTGTTGTTCATTTAATTCCTCATATCAACCCTTTAGGTAGTTAACATTTAGAAAAATTGCTGGCCATTTTGTTTGGTGAATGTTACAGATTCACTGCAACGATAAGGGTTAAATCAAGGGAGTACGAACATATTTTCGTCTTGAAAAAGTGAAAAGACATGCAAATAGGATACGTGCAGGTCTCCTTAGGCCAATTCATTGCCTTAATCTAATTATAAAGCGTTTATATAAGTTATCTTTCCAGTTGAAATTACTCTTCAGTTTTTTTATGGCAAGAAATTTTTATTAAGAAAAATTGAATATTCCGTTTGAAATTTGTAATTAAATCTCAACACTCAATCTTTCTAGAGAGTATGACCAAGCTTTAGCCATTTTAATCTCACTTTTTCTTAAAAATTTTTACAATGTATAATTATGGCAGTAAGGGTATTTTTTCTTATAATATTTTTTCTCTTTGAATTTAAGTAAATAAAGACTGATAAGCAAAGAAATGATGTCAATATCACGTAAAAATATTATGTAATCAAATTGCTATTGTACAACGATCACATAATTGAGGTGTATTAAAAAAATGAGAAAATTCAAGCTAGTATGCTTACCCATAAGTTCTGGTTTGTTTTTTAATTCTTTATTTGACCTTACAGCAGCATGTACCCAAACAGGGAGATTAGGAAATTTTCGGAGAAAATACGCCCTGTAATCACCAATCTTATAAAACAGTTCTGGTTGTGGTCGTGGTCGATTGTTCCAATGTTGGTCAATACTTCGAATGAGTCTTAAGCATTCTGTCCATGAAGATTTATAGGGCTTTCCATTCACCAAATAATCATAAACATCACAATCCATTTTACTTTTCCAATGTTCGGATTTGCTATTCAATTGTTGAACGACACTTGACTGGGAATCATTTGTCTTAATCTGCTGAAGATTCCCAACTTTACGTAACATTTCAAACTTCTCATCATCTGACATGAAAAATGGGTGTTTTAATGCTTCGTTAGAATATGGTCTTTCTTCTGGTTGTCGTTTTAACATCCACGACAGAAGGTCTTTTAATGTTTCATCCTTGATTTGATCGAAGCCAACTGGGTTTCCATTCAACATATTGTCCAGTCTAAGCCGTTTACTTCCAAAAGGATGTTTTCCTTTGGTTGCAATGTAATAAGCTACCATCCCTGCATTCTAAAATATTAAAAAGCGTTACATGAAAATGCAATTTCAACAACTTACAATTGTTGACATTCTTACACTTACATATACATCAGACCTTCTTTCGTAACACGCTTTATTTACTGAATCATCATCATCGCAATATGATTCAGGAGCTATCCAATGCACGGTTCCCTTGGAAGTAGTGCTTTTATATGATGTAGAGTCATTCTTCATTTTTCGACTTATGCCAAAATCAGCTATCAGAAAGTTGCTTTTTGAGTCTCGCAGAACATTGGAAGGATTCAAATCCCGATGTAGAATAGGATTTGGGCCGCTATGAAGATCAGCTAATCCTTTTAAAATTTGTCTAAGAATATCAGGAAGAGCTTTTTGAAGATCATGCAAAGTAGAATCTTTCACAAACGTCACCAGTGTTTCTTCACATAAGTCTAAGATCAAATAATCATAATCCGTTCCTTTATCTTCTTCTAAGTAGAAATAATTCACAACATATTTCGACTTTTTTACATTGAATTCATTTAAAATTTTCTTTTCGTGATGTGCAAGCTGGATAAATTCATGTCGATGTATTCGTTTCACTGCTTTACCGTAACCATCCTTACCCAGTCCAAGAAAAACACGGGTTCCACCTCTTCCTTTGCCAATGCAAAACTCTTCTGAGAATATTACACGCACATTTCCAACCACTTTAACCTCAACACTGGGATTGCGTCCATATTCAATCAATTTTAAAAGCAATTCTCTATGTTTTGTTGATTCATCAATGTATTTCCACTTTTCTAGATAAAAATAGTACATTCAAGGGTCAAACAAACAAAATAAATATGTCAAAATAGCTTAAACTTCCCCAATTAGGAAAAGATAATGATACCGTACACTTTTAAAAAACGTAGTAACAATTATTAGATATATCATAAATTTTTTAATTGGTAACATTCGAGGTTAGCTTATACCAAACAATTAATCATAAAAACTTCTCTCTGAAGTAATTTCATGAATTTTTGTTAAGGAGTAACCTTGCGTTTTTCGAAAATACTAAATTACAATATGGAGAGCAAATTTTTAGTCTAAAAAAATTTGTTTATACCAAAAGATCACAAAATAGCTTCATTTAATTTTTCTTTCTATTCTCGACACTTGTCTTTTAGACAGACTATCTTATGTTTATTGCTAAAGAGTAACATTGAAGTTCGATCTCTACAATTATTCTCTTAAATATTGTTTGGACATTTTAAAGTGCCAATGAAACAAAAATTATGCTAGTTAAATTATATCTGTATTGACCAGAACTTTTGAAATGACAGGGTGCTTTCTAAAACCTTTTCTGCATAAATTTTTCTTTCCAAAAATACTGAAGTCCTTACAATTAACAATTTATCTAACTTGTGACAAAATATTGCATACAAAATGAGTCGCTGCAATGTTTCAAATAGCCTTCATTTTCCTGACAACTTTAGGTTGTATTAGTATTGTAGTACGCAGTATTTTATATCATTAACATATCACAAAGAAGGAAACTCCGCCATGTTAAAAACTTTATCAGCAAATTCACCTAATACATCAAGTTCTCATTATCCAATGTGATATCAGATAAATCGGACATAATAAAAACTTCAATATCTCGAGAATGAAAAGTGATCTGCATAAACTAGTACAGAAAGTTCATTATCATATTAAAATATCTGTTAATAAAAGTATAACACAGGTTGCTAAATTTTCGTTTTATAGGCATTTTATGCTTTAACTCTAAATTATTTGACACGTACTGTTTCTCTTATTCATTGTAAAGTGAAACCTCGTTATCTATATTTCTGCAAACTCAAACTCTACCTCATGCTTTTTCTCATTCTCATGCAACATTTTTAGAACTAAAATAGATTTTGTCGTGGTGACAAATCTGAAAATCGTTTTGAAAATCGCAAATACCACTGTGAATTACTTTTACCATTCACCATGGCATTTGCGATCTTTAAAACGATTGCTAGTATTGTTCTCCTTTCCCGAATTGAAAATGGTTATTTGCAGTTTTCAATTATTTATTAAGCATATGATGATTTATTCAAAAGGAACAATTTGTCTGTCATGTAATTCAATAAATTTTTAACTCCACGAGAGAAGTAAGCGATTTAAATTCTTATGATATCTTTTAGTCCTTTTGATAAAATTCTTGTCTGTTTTAGAAACATGTAAAAGAAATCATGATGTTGTAATGTTAAAGTATAATGAATTGATAAGATAAGCAACGCGAACGATGCTAGCAAATGATCGAGTTTTTGGTTCCAAATGTTGTAACATCTTTGTATTTGAATGCCTTTTATGGACGATGCAGAACATTTTAATTATCTTTGGCTACCACATTCACCTTTAAATAATTTGAAAAATTTTGTTGTACAATACAACGCTCCTTTGCAACTCTCTTATAAATAGAGTTAAAGAGAGCAATTAAGCAAAGCATTTTCATGTTTTCATATAAAATTTTCAGATCAATTTTATATCTATCTATCTGTATATTATAGATAATTATCTATCTATTGATCTATTTGTCTATTTGAATTATATTTAATGTAGACTACGTTGGCTTTACAAGAAATCAGTCGACCATAACTTAAGATATGAAAACACACCTCCCCCCAACTAAAAGTTATAGTTTCGTCCCTCTATGTAGTGGTCCGTGCTACAACATCTGAGCAAGCATGACACAGCATTTGAGCTCTGTATCCGATATTTCAGCAGCAGCGTTATTAAACATCTCTTCCCCCACCCACGAAAAGTTCTAGTTTCGGCCTATTATACAGCGGCCTGTGCTACAATATCTGAAAAAAAATACCGCCATTGAGTTCTGTAAGCAATATTTCAGCAACAGCGTTATTAAAGACCCCCTCCCCCACACCACTAAAAGTTCTAGTTTTAGCCCTCTATACCGCGGTCAGTTTCATGAAAACGTTTGGCCTACGGTTAATTTACAGTAACCCAAACCGTATGAATAGATAGAGTTTGTAAGATAATTGCTAAAAGTGAGCACTTTCCTACTAAAGCTAAGACTTCGTCATTCATGATGATAAACAAGTAGAGTTTCCCCTTGTCTTCCTTCAGTGTATTCATACACCTCCTATTGTTTGGTTTTTCGCCACGCTTCTTACTATGTAGATAACTGATAAGTGCCTTCACGATATCTACGTAGGCCCTGTTTACATGAGACCAGAACGAAGTCAAACCGGAATGAAAATCAGAATTTTTTGCATGTTTACATGGACCGGCACGAAATCACGAAAAATCCTCATTCGCGTAATGCCTCCTTTCCAGTTTAATTTTACGCTTGCTAGTCATTTTCCCTTTGTAATTTGCTTTTGCGCGCATTCGTTGATGCTATTTCAGATCGGTAGAAATATTTATTTGAGATTGTATTGATGCTGGTTTCAATTCATACCGTTTTGAACACAGTCGGATCAGTTCAGCCTGCGAATTCAGACTGCTCTGAGTTATTTTCGCAGCAGTACCATGTAAACATCTACTGTAAATAATATTATGACCGAAACGAGCTGGTACCGCGGTTTGACTTCGTTCCGGTCTCATGTAAACAGGGCCATACTCTACTCTATGTCTAGCTCTTATTCTTGAAACGTGCTCTTCTGGTGTCTTTTTTATCAACATACTTACATGCATTCTGTTAATAGTATTCATTCCTTATTTCAATGGAGCAATGTCAATAGCATTTAAGACAATCTTGCTGCAAATTACAAGGAAGTTCTGCTTAGAAAACACGAGTAATATTTTGCATGTCACGTGGTACCTAGAAACTGTGAACATTGCGTACATAGTCACAGCCACAGTGTAGTGAATATACAGTAGAGCCACTCCATTGATTTTTTTGTACAACGCATATCTTATTACGCATGCGAATACCATAGTGGCAGCCACTCAATTGCTTTTTTTTGACCAATTTGCTTGTAGTTAATGATCTTGGGGTCACATACATATGTAAAAAGAATTGGATTTGCTATGGCGTAGCGAATTCAAATATTCAATCAGACATAAACATGAATATGGTGCAAAATTTCACTTTTATTGCGCACGAACCTTTAAAAAATGTACTTTATTGCCAGTTTCATTATTCTTCAATAATTTTGTATGGCGAGAATCGTTGTTGGAAATACACAAAGCACATAACGGTTTAACGATCCTTTCCATTTACACTATTGAGTATTCGCATTTTCCAAAGTCGATTATGATTGACTATAGAAGCTGGCAACTAATTAACTAACAGAACCACTGCGATTTATAACAAAATTTAAAAAGGTATTCGTATCCTAAAATTGGCAAAAGAGTACTCAAAATTTTTCAAGCAAAAACAGTCAACGTTATATAAGAATATATGATAGAGCTGGATGCAATGGAGGCTACCGACTTTCAAGACAAAACCATTAAAACGCCTTTTAATTATATCACATTCCCATTCAAAGTAAACAATTTATTCATATCGTATCTTCCTATACTGTATATTTCGTAACACAAATCATTTCGTACTGAAGATGGCATTTTGTCAATGTAGAAACATGTTTCCTTATAAAAAAATGATCGTTTTTTTAAATGTTTTTTAAACTTGCTGCTACTCAAAAGCTATAGCAAAAGTTTCATATTTATTCCATAACATACAATTCGTAGATAAAACAGTTTAAAATTTGAGGTTTGCATTTTACCCGAGGTTTGCATTCAATTAGTTATGATTTCTGAGTAAAAAAGCACGAGTTTTACTTGCCGTTAATATCAGGTTTGCGACGCTTAATCCTGGCTTCACTTGTTTCTTCATAAAGTCTTGAAGAGGAAGCTTCCATTTCATGCAAGATCTGTCAAATCAAAAAATGGTAAATAAAGCAACAATAAATATTAATATATTACTTGTCCAGAGTCAACAACTTGTGAAAATTTTTGCGACTTATGCATGATAGTAAAAAGCTGTTTCACTGAATCACACTCAATGATTGGTTATATAAAAATGAGCATGCACCACTCTCATCGACCTTCAAAATCAGGTTTTTCACCGTTTCTAACGTCTTTTTCGTCACTGTTTATCCCCAGTTTCAACTGCAATACTTTGAAGGACATAAAGTCAGTACATTTATGGATGAGTTAAACTAAAACAATTAAAAGCATAAAAGTTACTGAGATTTCCCTAATGTACAATGAATTTCGATAGTAAATGTGCGTTTTGGACGAAGAAGAGAGCAAAAAAAATTAATGAGTTATAATTTTTCTCATTTATCCAAACATATCTGAAACTATTAGAAGCAAGCTGACCTGAAGTTAATCAAAAGTTTAGCTTGTGAGCTGTGTATAAAATCTTGTACGTATGATTTCAGCGTATTAAAGTTAAGGTTTTGATAAAACATTTCTATTGTCTAAATTATTTTTTATTTTATAGCGAAAGATATAGTAGGTGCCATTGGTGTAAGTCCAGTTCAGAAATACAATGTCATTGTTAAGTGTCAAAGAGGGCGTCATTTGATTTTACTATAAATGCATAAAATAATTTACATAATGTAATCAACATCTAAATATTCATCATAATGTAATCAACAAATGATTTTTAACCATGGTGTCGTTAGACAAAAAATAGGCACGCAGTGCTTAAATGTATGCGGCCTGTCAAGTAAATGGCCAAAAAATAAAGTAGTTTCACAACCATAGTTCAAATAATAACGCATATTATATTATTTAAATGAAACATGTTTGAGATTTAAATATGTGTTTTTTGCTGAATGTTTTACATACCAATGATTCATACATAAACTTCTAAACAATGTAGAAGAGATAAATGGGTCAGAAACCTATGCATGACTATGGCGCATATGACAACTTCGAGGAAGATGACTGACAAGCAAGTGCAGTTTGTTAAATTCATTTAGTGTCCAAAAACTACATAAATCTTTAAAAATACGTATACCATTAGCTATTAATAATTTGTTCTTTAGTTGAACAACAGTAAAATCCGTTTCCAAAAATTTCTTTGAGGACGTACGCTGGGATATGACGTTTAACAAAAATCATTAAAAATTTAGGCGAATCGGGAAAAGTAAAACATTTTTATTTTTCTTATACGCCTTCTTTACTGAATTGTCTTTTTCTTGATAAATTTAAGCTTCTTACAACGTTAAAGTGTAAGTTTATTGGAAATAGTTATAGTGCTAAAATCACGATTTTCGTGAAAACGAGGCTGAAGGCCCGAAAACTTGCCCATATAACATCAATTTTTGAAATCAGTGCCTCAATATTGACCTAATTAATTCAATGGACTTTACGGCCATTATAAACTGTTTACATTCCTTTTTCCGAAGAAATGTATTTAAAGAAAAAAATGCCCTTTTCCTGATGGACTATCCTTTTTCAGCCTTTTAAAACCGCCTTTTAGTGCCCTCTTCAAATACCCTTTTATAATATATCCTTTTCGCACTTAATTCATTTATACATTGTAGATACTGCCCTCTGTAATCATATTAAATTGTAGCTTCTTATCATCCTTCATTATAAACTGGTTTTGCTCTAAGTACAATACAATGCAACACCACAAAGTTAGAAAAGGGTTACACCAAGTGAGCTGTTTATCGGAGAAGAGCGAGAACAAGATTGAACGAGTGAAGACCTTCTCTGGCCGAATCGGCGATGGAAAGATCGATACCCAAAGAGAAAAAGACTTGGCTGTTCGAGATAGGCGATATGATTTTCGTTCGAGGTTTCAGAAAGAATACAAACAAACCATCGTAGATTTCGGGAGTTGCACTTGAAAAATTAAGATCAGTCACTAACACAGTTGAAGTTGGCAGTATTCAGTGGAAACGAAATGACATGTTGATCAGATGGTTAAATATAATATTAGTACTATAATCATACAACATAATTTACATCTACAAACATCCCTATACATTTAACATCCCCTTTTTACAGATTAAATTTGTTAGAACATTAAACATACGGACAAAATTAAAAAAGAGTATTGCACAAACAAAGTCGCTGCCAGTAAAGTGATATATCAAATATTCGGAACTTAAATATGGTTGCCTAAACTACATACAGGATTACACCTTCAGTTTTAAGGAAAGTACTCAAGTCAGTCAAGTGTTTAGGTATATTTTGATAGAATGGTAATAATCGAGAAATTAAATACTACAGACTTATTGCTTAACTGCTTTCAGTAGAATGTGAACCTCATGACTTGAAGATGTTTATCATCACATGATCAAATTATGATCTAGCCTGCAATTGCATCACCTAATACAGGGGTGTCCAATCTACGGCCCGCGTGCCAGATGCGGCCCGTTGGGCTTCTCAATCCGGCCCGCAGAGGCACTTCAGAAAAAAAAATTTTATTAAACAAAATAAATTTTGTGCAGAAAGTTTACGTTATGACGCAAGCCAATTAGCAAGAGTGGCTTACGTCAATTTTTCTCCCAACTTCCTACTTCCGTTTCAAGCTCACTGCGAAATTTTAAAAGCTAAAGGATAATGTGGAAATTTTTTATATTCTTTGGCCCTCAACATGCTGGATGAAAGTTCATGTGGCCCTCTGGCTGTAAAGTTTGGAGACCCCTGACCTAATATATGACCTATCTATAGACAAATATGTATGACTGAATATACAAATAATAGCATAATTATTCATAAATATAACACATATTCACATTTACACAGTGGGAGTCTTATTATTGTCGTAAGGAGTGTGGTTTTCCACAATTATTTATTACTGTACTGGTCAAACTTCAGCATGGGTGGCATAAATAATACAACAACAGCTGTTATAGAGATTGTTTAAACATACTAAATGATATCTTGCAAATACAGATTGAGCAGTCACATATAAATTTTATACACAATTTACTTACTTGCCTAAGGCCCGTTTAATACGTCGAATTTCAGTCGAATTTAATTCGTCGAATTTAATTTTTAAACACTTCGACGGAACTTCGACGGAAACAGCATACGTCGTTATCATCAGTTTATACGTCGAAGTTAGTTCATCGAATTTAATTGCTAAGCCTGCAAATCGGGTTAAATTTAGGGTAGCCTGACCTAACTTATATTTTAAATATGGCGGCTGTTACAAGAGCTATCGTGTTGAGGCAAATTTTGAAAATAAGAAGGGAAAGAAGACAAAAGCAGCTACAAATATTAAATTATTTGAGAGATAGGAAATTACGTATTGCCCAGTTATGTTCACTGTTGCTCGCCCTTACAGCTAAAAAACCATCGATTTCGCGAGTTCGTTTTTGTCGCCGCTTGGAAAGAACAACACAATGGAGTCTTTGGTGGAACTCTGTATGGTCCAGTTACTCCGAAAAGAGATTTAGAGGCCCCTTTTGCGTGTCACGAAACATTTTCAATTTCGTTCTTAATGGAATTGCAAATAATTTGAGAAAAGCTACAAGAACCGAACTGCCAGTATCACCAGCTTGTAGACTAGCCATTTGCCTTTACAGATTGGCAAGAGGTGATTACTATTACACACTGTCTGAGAGGTCGGGCCTGGGGGTTGCGACAATACAAGGAATTGTTATCGAGGTATGCCAACTAATTGTTTTAAATTTGTGGCAAGATGCTGTTACCCGACATTTCCCCTCGTCTGAAGAACAATTGAGAGAGAAGATGATTGAGATGGAGGAGATTTGGCAATTTCCTTGCTGTTGGGCAGCTGTTGATGGATGCCATATTTCTATTAAATGCCCAGATGGTGGAGGCTGCCAAGGAATATTATAACTTTAAAAACTTCTATTCTATTGTCTTAATGGGTCTTGTTGATGCTAAATATCGATTTGTTTGGGCAAGTGTTGGGTTTCCCGGCAATACTCATGATGCAATGATCTTGCAGGCAACACAGTTATGGAAAGACATATCAACAAACAATGCCATTCCTTCCATATCTAAATATATAGGTGGGGTTGAGGTTGGTCCACTCATAGTTGCTGATTCAGCATTTCCCTGCACAACATGGATCATGAAGCCTTACACATGTGCACTACTTACACCAGAACAAAGTAATTTTAACTATAGATTGTCTCGTGCAAGGATGGTTACAGAATGTGCTTATGGCCAGCTAAAAGGAAGATTTAGAGTTTTATATAGAAAGTGTGAGTGTAATGAGCAAACAATGAAACCAATCACATTAGCATGTATTGTGCTGCACAATTTATGCATTGAAAATGGCGAACCATTACCTACACAATCAGATTTGGCTGCTGATCCGACAACAATGGCGAGACGAGACCGGAAAGCTGTGAGGAAGCTATTAAATATGCGGAGTTGTGAAAAAGTAAAGGACACTTCTGTCCAGGCTGTAAAGATAAGAGGGGTTTTGAAAGATAAATTGTGGAAAGAAAGGGAAGGACATGGTGTCTGTTAGTATACCATATTAATGATTAAGATTGAACATCAAAATTTGGTTATTTTAATATAAGTAAAATTTATTGTAAATTGTTTTACACAAAATTTACAAATATGGTAAGAATGTTACTAAAACTACTTCAAAAAAATTAGAATTTTACAGTTTTGTGCGTGTTTCATTTTCTGAAAAGCAAAACTTGGCAGTGTTTGAGGCACTGTAGGCAATGAATTGTTCAAATCTATATTATTGCATGTATGGTAGTATGTAGAAAAAACACAATAAATTTAATAAAGATTTTTATACAATGAAAAATACATTTAAAGTTTTGTGTAGGTTTTTTTATTTGTTCAAACGACGAACTGTGCCCGACCTGATGGTGGGAGTTTTGGCCACTTGGTGGTGTCTGAAGAACTAAGGGAACTGCAGGTTGTTGCCAATGTTGTTGTGGTGGAGGAATTTGAGAGACCATCAGAACTGCAGGCTGTTGCCAGTGCTGTGGGAGTTGTGCTGCTTGGAAATACCCTTGTTGATGATTTTGATGATGCATGACAGGAGCATAACCTTCTCTTGAATGTTGATTTGACAAAATTTTAATAAGTTGCATCTCATTTTGCCTTGATTTTGCAGCATCTTCTTTCATAAATCTATGAGTTCTTTTGTGGGATCATTTTCTATCATTGACTCCAGCAATTTCAGAACTTTGATTTCCACATCTGACTCACTTTTCTTTTTCCTATTTCTTATGGGGACAAACATATTTTCTGTTTTTTTTAAAAGATGGATGCCTTTCTTTAATAAGAGTTAGCACGTGGTTATAAATTTCTGTGTTTGTTGAACGCCGATTGTTCATAAAGATTAGTTTCTTTTTGTAAGTCTCATTGTTTACAATTATATCAACCATGTCATCAATATGTGCAGAGGTCCATATTGATCTTCGACCAGACGCTTTGCTTTTTTCTTTTCGTTTAGCTGTTGCTTCTTCGACATTATTTTCAAAGTCAATAGTACCTGCAACGCTTGACAAATCTGAAACACAATCATTGCAGTACCCAACACTAACACCTTCAACCCAACCGTGTGCACTTTCATCTATTTCAGCAGCTGAGCAAGTCGATCGATTGCAAACGAAAGTAGCGCAAGAAATACATGTGTATTTTGTTATATTCTCACATGAAAAACAAGGTTGCTCGCTCGCCATCTTGAATATGCGTATATCGTGGGACACACGAGGCGAGAAATATTGAATTGTGGGATAGAAATGTAATTTTAATAATTTATGCATTAAATTCGACGCGATGGAACTTCGACGTTTAAACTGCTATCTCATTTCTGTCGAATTTTGTCGAATTATTCGACGGACACTGTCGCATAATTTGACAGCGTCGAATTTAATTCAACGTGTCGAATGCAATCAGTTTAGACGTCGCATTTACGTCGCATATAATCGGCTGCATTAAATTCGACGAATTAAATTCGACTGAAATTCGACGTATAAAACGGGCCTAACACCTTCTACCCAACCGTGTGCACTTTCATCTACTTCAGCAGCTGAGCAAGTCGATCGATTGCAAACGAAAGTAGCGCAAGAAATACATGTGTATTTTGTTATATTCTCACATGAAAAACAAGGTTGCTCGCTCGCCATCTTGAATATGCGTATATCGTGGGACACACGAGGCGAAAAATATTGAATTGTGGGATAGAAATGTAATTTTAATAATTTATGCATTAAATTCGACGCGATGGAACTTCGACGTTTAAACTGCTATCTCATTTCTGTCGAATTTTGTCGAATTATTCGACGGACACTGTCACATAATTTGACAGCGTCGAATTTAATTCAACCTGTTGAATGCAATCAGTTTAGACGTCGCATTTACGTCGCATATAATCGGCTGCATTAAATTCGACGAATTAAATTCGACTGAAATTCGACGTATAAAACGGGCCTAAAATGCTAAACACAACACTTCTTAGTGACTAACATGATTGATTCATTTGGCTTGCCGCTTAAGTTAGCAAAAAGTAGGCCAATGAACACACACAATTTATAAAACTCATGGAATAATAAGCCTCCAGATGATGTCAATTGTGCAAAATTTGTCTAGGTCAGGCAAAATGAATCTATACCTGTCAAATAGCTAGATCGTCTAGTGAAGTTAGGCAAAAGTTCGCTTCTCTCTGCCTATCAACAGCAGAGCTATTACTAAATTGATTACTGACTGGTCTGCAAACCAAATAACAATTAACTTTTTTTTCTAGTATCTTTATAAGTATAAAATCTAATTGAGATCAACTTAGGAATTTTACTATTGGCAAGTGCTTTAGTTGCCTACCCCTTGATCCGCCCCTGATTTCGATATTAAAAAAGTAAACAAAAATTGTGTTGGAAATTAACTACAAAGCACGCTCGCATTGAGGTCATTAAAATAGGAGAAATGTCCCAATTTGGCTTGCAAACAGATTAAATGGGCCCCGCATGTAGTTTATCATGATTCACTTTGTTTTGTCAAACAACATAAAGTCCTTGACATGTAAAATTTCGATCAATGAATCATCTCACAGAACTACATCGATATGACCGCGCAAATTGCGATTGTATTTGTTTGCATAAACGTCTACAGTAAGCGATTAAAATTATGTTGGAGAATATTAAGCCTTTCAGCTATCTAGTCGGGCAATTTGTCGTACAATTACTAGGTATAACCAAAGTATGGATCGTGAATAAAACACCACACGAGTACATACGAGTACATACGAGTACATACGAGTAGCAGACGAGTACATACGAGTGACATACGAGTACATACGAGTAACATACAAGTACATACGAGTAACATACGCGAGAGTTGCACTGTGTTACGTATGTATATCATATTAGGCGTACAGTTTCAGCTTACTTTTAATGTTTTTAAAGTTCTAGCTGATATAATTCAGTCTTTTAACTGCAAAATCAGTATCTGAAACACTTAAAAACAGTTAACTATACTTAGCCATTCGGTGAAATTCGTGCATTTTGGATCCTTATCTATAAAGTAAATGGTTTGAACCCGGGAGTATCGTTACATGTTTGTAAATGTAGATCGTCCAGGTTGATATAGTCCTGAGAAGGACTGTTTTTATTGTTGTTGACTAACGTTTCGACAACCTTAGCGGTAGTCATCTTCAGAGTCAAAATGAATGTATAATCGCTTTCATAAATATGTATTTCCTAGGTGAAAGTGTGTCAAAAAGCGCTCAAATACTGTCAAATCGCATTGACAAAATATCTATAACAAATTCAACTAAAACATACAAATGAATGTAGTATGAAAGTAAAATACCTTTTCAGCATTTAAATCCATCAAATGGTTGCCCCAAAGTCCACACAAATACAAGGAAAAATAAACGCAAATATCAATGTATTGAAGAAATTGTGTTGTTTCTCATTTGTTGACCAGAAAATAGTCGTATGTCACTCGTATGTACTCGTATGTTACTCGTATGTACTTGTATGTCACTCGTATGTACTCGTATGTTACTCGTATGTACTCGTATGTACTCCTATGTACTCGTGTGGTGTTTTAGTCACGATCATTGAGCTCTATAAGACCTGGAGGGGAAAAAGGGCCTGGACCCCGTGGTCAAAAACATGGCGGTAATGGCGGATATTGGTGGTCAAAACTTCCACTTTGAGAAAATTTTTTAACATTCGCTCCCTCCTGAATCCGGATCTCTATTCCTGCTTGAAAATAATGAAAATAATGCTTCAGGTTTTTGTGAAATAGACACACACATTTAAATGAGGAAAATCTACTGTAAAATAACGTATATTTGCCAAGTAATGCTTTAGCTATATTAGAAATAAATATCAAACGGCATTCTTTACACTGTCAATGTGTTGTTAAGCTTTAATGCATAATCCCATGCGCATTGCTTGTTTTTTTGACTGTTTGTGAACAGCTTGGTGCAACTGTCTTTCTTGAATAGATGGGTAAATCTTAGTTAAAATGTCCAAAAAGGAGTTAGAAAAGTTTGCTTACCACTACGACTTAAGTCGACTGGAAATATATTATAAGTAGGTATGTAATTTTTTTGACTTTTTTTTGGTAGGATTGATTCTGGGTGTCTTGTAAGGTATTATGATATTCTGATAAATGTACTGAGAACTTATGAAGAAAATATCTTGAACTAGGAGAGCAAAACAACGAAATTCAGAAATTCTATAATAATGTTACTGGTTCTGTTTTGAGCCAAGATATTAGAAACTGGATTGTCATTGACAACCATGGATCAACTACTGAACAGAACTTCATTAATTTCCCATTGAAAATATGATCTCATAAATTAAAGTGCATTGGTTTCTCTGACATAACACTTTCCTTATTGCTGCATGAAGGCAAATCTGTTTAAATAATTATAATGTAGGTGAAAATATTTAGCATGTTGTATAATTGATATTGTACAGTCATTATTTATAATATTATGGCCTTGTGTAATGTATGTCAAGAAGAACTTATTAATTCTCAAAAATGCTAACCTTCTTGCACTACTTTTCTCTTGTGTCCTTACAAATTGCAGTTACCTATACTAATTTTTTCTAGGTTCAAACAACTTGACAAACTTTTGAATTTTACATTATGCCTTTGAATTTTTGTTTTCGTCTTTTGATAAAAATATCAGTGAATGACTTAAAAATAAAGTTAATCTAAAATAGTATTTTGTACAAAGAAACTACACATAATTGGAAAAGTCTCATGTTGAAGACAGATGTCGCTTCTTTTACTAGATTGCTATTCTTATTATTTTAAATAATATTGTAATTCTTCATAAGACATAAAAAGTTCTTTGCCATCAATTTTTGCATCTTCCACATTCAACTTCATTGCAACCAATGCATCTTATGTGAATTTTTAATCCCCTGGAATTGAAAAACGTATGGATTTTGTCAGATGATGCAGTACTATATCTAATGTTTCATGCATGTCATCATAAGCTTTTCTTGAGCAAATATTTCAAGGTAGGAGCATAATTTGGCACATTATTTAATAAAGTAGTTTTTATCTTGGTTTTGATGTACTGACCTGT